GTTCATTTCCTCCTCTTCCGAACCTTTTTACGTCGTGTTTCCCTTCGTATTCTTATCCCTTTTTGATATTTTATGCTCAATTAGCTCATTGATAAAATCCTTAACAAGACCATTAAAACGATTATATTATACTTTTACATCTAGTCTGACAAAGCTGGCTCATCGTTTAATTATTGATTAAATAGCGGAAGTTTGGCCTATTAAAATGAAAGGAAAGAAAGGAAAAAAGAGAAAAGAAGAAGAAAAGAATAAATAAAAAATGAATAAAATATACATTGGGATTTCTTGTTGTTTTATGAATAGATGATATTAAAAAGTATTTGAAAAGAAATAGTTATTTGTGAATGCAAGCTGCGGAGGCAACAGTTTGAATCAAGTGGAAGAATTAGATTAAATATGCAAAGGCACAGCTTGCGCAATTCTTCAATAGTATAAACGGAAGTTTATAAGAAGAGTAACGCTAAGTGGGAATAAAAATAAAGTGAGAATTGAAAGGAGACAGTTTAGATAGAAATAAAGAAGCAAGTGGCTAATGAACAACATCTCATCTACCCACAAAAATTTACTATTTACTTCAATTTTCTTTATCCCTCTCTTTGTCTTTTTCAATATGCTAAAAATAGATTGTATTAATAATAATATAATAGTAGTGTCTCTCCTTACCCACTCTGAGCTTTTTATACCATTGACCTTAACCTTGCATTTTTGTGAAGGACAGTAGGAGGGACAGTTTTAAAGACTCTTACTTTTTCTCAATTTCTCAATCAATAATGAGAGTGAGTAAGTATTGAATTTAGACAATTAATCGTCTATTTATTGTAAATACAAGATATTTACAAATATTTTATTAGCCATTTAAAGTGGATTAGAGAGAGAGAGAGAATTTATTCCTTATACACTCTATACAGTATATGGCCTACTAGAAATACCGGGTTTTTATTGGACTTCATCAAATAGCCCGATAATTATTCTACTAGTTTTTTTTCTCAAAGTAGATCACCACTATTCTTACATAAACTCAATACAAGAGAAAAGTGAATACTCCTCACGCAATAGAAAGGAAAGACAATAAGCAAGGGAACGAAGCGCAGAGGCTTAAAAGAGAGAGAGAGAGAGAGAGAGAGTGGAGAAACGTCAAAATTCATTTAAGAATTTTGCTAATGTTACGCAAAGTAATATGACAGAATGAGACTAGTCATAGAAATTTTACAACCGACCAAAGGCCTATAAATATGTATATGACCACAGTAAAATGAAGAGAGAGGGATCGAGAGAAAAAACTAGTAAATTCTATGGAATTATTCGTGGATGTGAAATAATTCGATAGTCGTCTAAATTCGTAATAACCTCAGTAATTCTAATTTATTATAAAATGTAGGTTTGCCAAACAAATTTTGCATCCTCTTCGTGATAAATAGCTTGGCGTGTTGTTTGTCAATGCGATATGGACGGAGAGTCGGCGGTAGAGTTATAAAGATAACGTACGAAACACTATTTATTCTATATTTGATTTATAATTATCTATACAACTCTATATATATATACTGTATATATATAGATATATGCAGTATATATATATTATCAATTTTGCAGTTTCAACTATAATCTTCTTTAATCTCCTTAATCGTTAATTAAGTGGCGTCTCTCAGATTATAGTTATGGAATATATCTCTTCTCCGATTGTCCACTCTTCTCTTTTTCTTCGGGCATAAAATGTTAAATCGAGCGCGGTTTATATTGGGTAGACTCTTCATTATTCACCTATTCTCAAGATCTTTAGTGGATGAAATCAGCTCTTGACAGTCAGCCAATCAGCTTACATAATTTCCTTCCTTTTTCCCTTACTATAGTACTATAAGTAGATGTGATTAGAAATTGAATAATAAAAAAATATGACACTATCTAATTGACTCGATGATATTTTCTTTATCGTTTATTCCTTTTCGATTAAGGCTTCCCTCAAAGAGACTTTAGAAGAAACTATTCCTAATCCCGACTCATATTTTTTGCCCCATCTCAACCTTCTCTCTCTCTCTCTCTCTCTTTCCTCACTTACTCATTCATTCATTCATTCATTCACTCACTTACTTACTTACTTACTTATTTTACTTACTTAGTCTTGCTAACTCTTTTTCTCCTCTCTTTTACTTTCTCTTTCTCTTTTCCTGCCGTCAATTTTCTTTTTCACGCAAAAGAAATATAAAGGGAAAAAAGGAAAGAGAAAATTTCACTATACAATATCTTTCAATGAGTAAAAATTTTGCGTTTTTCTTCCAGAAATAGGCCTTAATTGGTTGAATTTTAAAAGATCAAAAAGGAAAACGTTATTAAGGGAATTGAGACGATGTTGCTTTCTAAAGTGAACTAGGGTTTCACCATTTTTTTCATTGCCGGGCCTTTTAATTAATTTATCATAATAAAAGAATAGCGCTATTATTAAAGGAATGAATGTAGAACGTGTATTCAGCATATATTGTGTACATAAGTATTATATACATAAAGTTTTGCTTTGAAAACTTGCGGGAACAGCCTGAAGGCAAGAATAGAAGAAAAGAAAAAGAAAACCTAACCGATGTAAACATGCACTGCCAACTTAATTGACTATTTTGTTGCAAAAGCATCACCTTTTCTTATTCTCTCACTCTCATTTCTTCATCATTACTCTTTAATTTTTCCTAATTCTAGCGATACTTTTCTCTTCTCTTCAACTTTTGTCAGGCTCATTCTTTTACCTTCATCCTCTCTTTTCTTATTCATCAAATTACGAATAATAATAATGGTGGATAAGAGACGTATTATGTAAGATTAAGGGCGCTGTCGAAGAGGACAAAAGAACAAATATAGAAAGAGATGGAATGAAACTCGGATAGACAGATAACGAGACCAACAAGGAAAAGATAGAGAAACAGAGTTGTAGAACGACTGGCTGGGTGAATTAATTGCGCGTTATTCGAGCATTCAAGCAGAACAGGGGTAGCGATGGTGGATTTTTAGAAGAGAAATATCACTCAACTTTATGCATCATTTCTTGAATATTTTGCGGTTTTTCTTTTGAGCAGTAGGGTGTGCTCTTGTAGATCTTCTTCTTTTTCTCACACGCCTTGAATGTTCCTTCCCACTCTCTTCTACGCAAGTCCAACGCATGAATATTTCGTCATTTTCCTCTTTATCCAATATATCTTCTTCATCTATTTTGTGCTCTTTTCTATCTCTGCCTATCTCACTGTCCATTTACTCGTCTTCCAGTCAGTACGTCTGTCCAACTATCCATCACTTTATCTGGTTGAGTATGCCTACGCGTAAGGTTACGGCTATAGAAATTATGCGTCGCCGTCCTCTTAATTATAGTCATGGGCTATTGTCTTATGTGGGGTTTTGCATGGAAATGTAACTTGATTTACGAAAGAGGAGAAGGAGAAGAAAGAAGAGGAAAGGATAGCCGAAGAAGCGGCGAAAGAGGAAGAACAAGAAGAAGAAGAAGAAGAAGAAGAAGAAGAAGAGAAAGAGAGAGAGAGAGAGAGAGAGAGAGCGATAAAATTCAAAATGAAAATTTACAATTATTCTAACGGTTAGTACTAATAATTGACATCCCAAAAGAGTCAAAGTTTACCCCAGTCTATAAAGGGACAAAGTGAAGCAAACAAAGACTGAAGAATCTGAGATAGTGCACATAAAAGGCTTGAGGAGAAACCCTAGCCGAAAATCAATCTTATTTCATAGCCAACTTGTTTGAGTATTTCCGTTAATTTTTATTTGTTTCATCGTTTTAACGGTTTGTTTCCTCTCGTTTCAGGTGAAAAAATATGAATATTTTATATATATCAATACTGTAGTCTCTTGTTTAATTGTTCCCTGTCCAATTTAAACATCTCGCTATATAGCCTAATTCCAACGAAAAGGCTTTTTTTTTTACTTTTTCACTTGTTTACTCATCTAAAGATAAAACGTTGTGTCCCTCCCTTCTCTCTCTCTCTCTCTCTCTCTCTTTCTATTTTGTATATACAATATGTACATATATATTTGTATTATGAAGATATAATATATCAAACAGCTATATCAATGAAATAGATTTAAATACTAGTTATTAATAAAAGGGAACCGATGCTAAATGTTGGTAAAGAGAAAACGCCAAATATAGGAGAGTAATCTTCTTTCAACCTCTAACTCGGAGGACGTTAGAAGGACATGGAATAGACTATTGCGTACAACCCACTTTTTGAAACAAACACTTCCGAATCAACATTCTCGGTCATTTGTTTTTTCGAGGCAAACTTGCTTGACATTCGCATAACAACTATTCTATATTTGAAAACGTTATGCTCATCTTTTCTATCTTTATCAATTAGTCAGTCGATTCATTCATTCATTTATTCATTCATTCATTCATTGACTCGTCGAATGATGCCTTCCCTCCCCCCTCCTTCCATCTCTTCTATAGACATCCTATTCGGGCGAGCCAAGAAGTAATTTCTAGGCCTAATTTTCCTTTCTCATTTTTCCATTCTCCATTTCTACCCTTATTAAAGAGAGACGCATTCAAATTAAAGTTTATTTTTCCTTTTGGCAATTTCTTGGTATTGCAAGCCTATAATAGAAATCAATAACCGTCAGTAACGCCGTCTATATATGTAATATGTACTAAGTAGTGTTGAATATAACAAGGAAAATGTTGTTAGATGAATAGCGATAAAAGTGATTTGTTAATACTGTTTTTCGGCCTTTTGACCTTAATTTTTTATTATTGTTTAAGTATTTTTGGGGGAGTAAATATTTTTTTCTCATTATTAGTTTCATCCAGGCGACAAACCGGCTCTTCTTCTTCTTCTTCTTGTTCTTCCTCCACTTCCCGTTCGACTCCTCTCCTCTGCCTTACCAATTCCCATAAACAATATTAAATATCTCTTTCCTGTTTGCTGTTTGCAAAAAAAAACACCATCTACTTATTCAAGTTGCTCAAATAGCTTTATAGCTGAATATACAGTATACATATACATATATTCACTAATCCTATATGTAAGAGTATTTTCGTATTCTGCAAACAGTCATGGAGCCTAAATGGGAAGTTTTAATTGCAAATGCGGCTAAATCGATTGGAGAAGGACCTCATTGGGAAGAGAAAAGTGAGTCTCTCCTCTACGTTGATATCTACGATAATTCGTGCATGAGATGGAACTCGAAAACTGGAGAAATTCAAACGAGAAATTGCGGTAAATACAGCTGCACTTTGTTTTTTATATAACTCTATTACAATGATCTGATTACTACTAGTTTGTTTATACGCTATATAGAGACTATGATTAGATACTGTAGTTTGTTATACTCTATATATACACTATATATAAATTGTTCATAAAATGCTATAGGACAAACTGTCGGCTTTATTGTACCGAAGAAAGGAAATACGGACGAATATCTACTAGGCCTGGGACAAACAATTTCAAAATTAGACTGGCAAACTGGAAATTGCGAGGAAATTGTTCGGGTTGAAGATGGATATTCGACGAGGTTTAACGACGGCAAATGCGATCCTTTGGGCAATTTATGGGCTGGTTTGTTATATATTAAATATATACATGAATATATTATCTTTAAGTATAATAGGCCTATTTGAATATAATGTAAATATCTGGATGTACAGTATATTAGAAAGAATTAAGAAAGTTGTTATAATTTACGTTATATTTTGCTGTTTAGGTACAATGGGTTTTGAGACAGGACCCGCCACTGTAGAACCTGGCCTTGGCTCTTTATATAGACTAGATAAAGAATGCAAGTTGAGAAAGGAGATTGGTAAAATATCAATTTCTAATGGACTGGCCTGGACAATCGATTTAAAGACAATGTTCTATATCGATTCTACGCCTAAAGAATTATACGCCTTCGATTACGATAAAGAATCAGGCAACATATGTAAGAAATCTCTATTTTGAACGATTTATCTAGAAATTCTGTTTTTTTAAAAAAAAAAATAATAACTAAATTTACTTATTTCTCCAAAATTTATCTTTCTTTTCTTTCATTTTTTTTTCTGTTTGCTCTGTTTGGAACGTAAACAGCCAATCAGCGTACAGTTATCAAATTTGATGATGCAATGGGAAGTCCGGATGGTATGACTATAGACCGCAATGGATATTTATGGATTGCTTTCTATGGTTCTTACCAAGTTATTCAATTTGATCCTATTAAAGGTATCAATAAGTTGTTTTTTTCGTAATTCTTTGTATGGTACATCGGTTGCTCTATCCTCCTATTCCTATTTTATAATCGTATATATATATATATATATATACAGTATATACTAACATATGTATATATTTATATTTGACCTTGTGGGAAGGAGAAAGAGTCAATTGAAAGTATTTTTAAAAGCGTTCGATTATAATTACTATTCGTTTGTTTGACGTGTTTTTAATTTTTTTTCGCTTATTCTATTTATAGCAAAGATAGTTCAGTCGGTAAAACTTCCCGCTAAACATATAACATCGTGCTGTTTCGGTGGCGAAGACTATTCAGAATTATACGTTACGTGCGCTAGACATAATTATACTGCTAAAGATATGGAAAAAGAGCCGTTAGCCGGTTCAGTGTTTAGAATAACCAATACCGGTTCGAAGGGAATGCCGCAAAACTCCTATCCCGGTTAAATTATCAACTATTTCGAATACTGTAACATGGAACAGTTGAAGGATATAGAAGAACTCACTAGACGAATAAAACTCAATTCTTTTCTTCTTTCCTTAAATAATTGCTCAACTCTTGTCATTTTTCTTATGTTCTAGTATTTAGTCAATAAATTATCAAAGAAACACATGTTAGTTGTTCAATTTGAAAGGGGAGGAGGAGGGGGCAGGAGGGGGAGAGGGATGACAGGGAAGAAAGACATGTATAATACGAAAATTATTCTAGTCGAGACTATCGAGTTGGAGAATATGCATGCGTTGCTTTAGTAAGGAGATGGGCAGGGGAAGAATGAATGAACGAATGAAGGATAAAACAAGAAGATAAAAAGAGAGAGTGAATTGGAAAGAGGTTGAAAATATAAATACAAAGCGATAAACAGCCAATACAACAATAGTATAATTCTTAAGGATGAAATGATATTATAATGAAAAGTGACTATGCATAAATTTTGTAAATATATTTTTTTAATAGTTGAATTATTAAGAAAATACTTTTATCTCTAAATTACTGTTTATCGATAAGAAAAGTGAATAAAGTTGTTTTCTTAAAAGTTCATTATCAATGCTAAAAAGTCAATGAATTGAAATGTTTTGATTGAGCTATAACATTCTCATTTGCTTTTCTCTACCTTACTCCTTCACTCACTCACACTCTTTGTCTCTCTCTCTCTCTCTCTCTCTTTTTCTCTTTCAACTACCGTAATACTAGCTTTGAGTTAGTGCTTTGAATAATAATTAACGTTTCTTTTTCTTTTTTTACTTGTCATCTTAATTGCTTAGCTACCTAGAATTAAAAAGGGGGGAAAAAACAGCGAATAACGTCATTCGCACGTTCTCCCGCTTTATCTTATTTAACTACAAGCCTAGGCTTATAGTTCAAGAACCATATTACAAAGACTCTCAGTATTTTTTTGCGTTTCTTTCATAGATGAATAAAACTACTTTTGTTTTATCTAACACAATGATAAACCAAACAAAGAAAATCGTAGAATGATGATATTTTAATTTATACGCATTTTAAATGAAAAAAGTGTAAACGAGTACGATCTAATTAAAAGGGTAAAGGTTTCTCTCTTAATCAATTTGCATAGATTAGTCGAGTGCTTTAGTTGTTGTGTTTATTAAAGAGATTTCTCTCGATAACTCCTCTGCTACAGAGACGAAATGAACATAAAACATAAATACAAACAAAACAGACATGTACAGCGAAGCAGCCGCAGGGAGAGAAGGGAATGTGAGAATAAGCAAAAATATTAAAAGAAAGAAAGAGAGCGAACGAATGACTGAAGGGAAAAGGAAAAATGCTAGAAAGGAGAAAGAATATAATACAGAGTTTAATAGAATGAGTTAGTTTGCGACTTAACTCTAATAGTATTCGTATTAGAATATAAACAGCATATATCATGCACATGTAAGGTTGTTAAATTGGGTATTAACATTCTATTTGTCTTGTGTTTGTTTCTCTTCCCATTGCCCTTCGGATATTTTTGGAACTATTAACTTTTTTCTAGTTTGCTAGTTTGTTTATTCGTTCATTTATTTGTTGATTATTTGCTTTTGTTTTAATTGTCACACCGTCAATTTTCATTTAATTAGCATTTATTTGCATATGGTAATTAGATATGAATATGTATATATATACATATATATATATAGCTTTGAATAACAAAGTTAAATTAGTTGAATTTGATCATACGAGGAAGAGAAGGGGAATAAAAAAAACAATGACGAAGTAAGTATGGTAGGGATCAGGGATGGGGAAAGAAACGAGGGAGATATGAAGAAAGGGAGAGAATGGAACGAATGAATTGAGTAAATGTTAAAATAATTCATGTAAAAAAAATTGAATGAAAGAGAGAGAGAGAGAAAGAAAGAAAAGAAATCAACTGATTGTGTTGAATGAAAAAAAATGATTTAATTAAAAACCGTTTATTATCTAAAGTTATGATGATACTTTTTAAGATAAGAAACATTTCATATGCGATTTATGATATCTTGAACAAAACGTTTTTTTCCGTAATATTCAATTATAAGAAAAATCAACTTTATATATCAAATATTTCTTGTTGATAAGATTTTTAAAGAGATAACAAGTATTACTAAAGTAGATGATTGTTCGTCTATATATATAAAGATGTGGCTTATTTAAAATTTTCGAGTCTTGGCGTAAGTTCAACTTTGACTTCTCATCTCTCTCTCTCTCTCTCTTCATATTTTAATCGTTTTTCGTCTCTTCAAAGCCTCGTTTAAGTAATCATTCAATAATTTATCTTGTATTAGTTGTCTAATATTTTCTCAACTGGAAAACAATAAATCAATCATGGAGATTAAGACAAGCTTTCATTGGGCAGATTACCTTTTGTTTATCGGTAAGATTCTTTATACTATTTCTCTATTTATTCATTTATTCTCTCCTTTCTTGTGAATTTATTTAACTGTTCTCTCTCTCTCTCTGCAAAATTTTCAACTGTTTTTGCAGGAACTCTTCTGATTTCACTTGGCATTGGTATATACTATGCAATTGCTGGAGGAAAACAGAAAACGACCAAGGAATACCTTATGGGTAACAAGTAAGAGTTTTGAGCATTGTGACAACTTTCTTTCAATTTTTCTACCCTTTACTTTTTCCCTCTACATAGGAGTTTAGGCGTTATCCCCGTTGCATTATCTATGTTCATGTCTTATATATCTGCTATCCTAATTCTTGGAAATACTGCCGAAATGTATTTGCACGGAACGCAAATGTGGATGGCTGCAGTTGGCTCTTCATTGGCTTTTGCTATATCGTCAGTAATTTTCGTGCCACTATTCTACCCTTTAAACATTACATCATCGTTTCAGGTATATATTTTTAAAAAAGAATGTTGATTTTTCTATCGGCCCTCTCCATTCAAACATTCATTCCCCAGTCCAGTTGGAGAGAAAAGGCTGTGCAATTCCATTAATCTTTTGAAAGTCACTCATTTAGAGCGTGAAAAAAAAAAGAAAAGATAGAAATCTTTAAGAGTTTTATTTATTAAAGAGTCGTTTAATCTATTAATTTGTATTTTTGATCGTAATCGTAGCTAGGCGATAGATAAAAACATTATTATCTCTATCTTCTCTATCTTTATACTTATCTAATAAGAGTTTTTTAAGTGCAGTTCAATCTTTTTTTTGTATTATTTTCTATTTCTTACTAATTTCAATATAAAAAAAAGTGCTCTGCATATCTTTCTTCCTTGTCATTGTTTATGTTTTTAATTCTTCAACCTTTCTCCTCCCCAAATTGACTAAGTTTACGAAGACATTCAACATTGTACTCAAGATAAAGATGTTGAAATTTCTCTTTAATTATCAATTATATATTGCGATTATAAAACTGTTAACTAACTATTAATGCATTCATTCATTCATTTCTTTTTATTTCTCTAGTATCTTGAGATGAGATTCAAATCAAGATCTGTTCGTCTATCCGGTACAATTCTTCTTATGTTATCTCAGGTGAGAATCATCTATTCCCCTTTTTCTTATCTAGATGCTTATTAATATTTATTATTATTGTTATTATTACTGTTGTAACAATCCGTTATCAACCAACAGATTCTTTATATGGGAATTGCTATGTTCTCTCCAGCAACGGCTTTAGACGCCGGTTAGTTCATTTTCTATAATTATTATCCATCCTCTTGAACTTGATAGTAAATATGAATAATTCTCTTTCCAAAAACAGTTACAAATATTCCAGTGTGGGCGTCTATTCTCGCTACAGGCGTCGTTGCTACTATTTATACAACTTTGGTAAATATTCTTTCCTAACTATGTATACAATTTACAAATAGTTGGAACAATAAGAAAAGATTAAAATAGTCGGCTTCTGTTCTTTCCATTTCTATGTTTGTCATTAATGTTTGTCTTCTTTTTCTAATTTTTCCTATACAATACCTTGTACTGCTTTTAGGGTGGTATGAAAGCTGTCGTTTGGACAGATGTCTTCCAAGCGCTCGTTATGGTTGGTGGTCTAATTACTGTTCTTGTTATGGGTACTAACAAAATTGATGGAGGAATGAAAGAAGTTTTCAAAAGAGCTAGCGACACAGGAAGAATTAAATTTTTCAAGTAAATATTATCATCCTATCTTTTCTCTCTTTCTCTAACCCTATTCCCCTCTCAAACTTAGCATGAACGCAAATCCCTTGATAAGAATGTCTTTTTGGTCTGTTGTCGTTGGCAGAGTGATAGCTTCCGTTCAAACAACTGGTACTGGACAAACATCCGTTCAAAGATACTGGTAAACTCTCGTACTATTCGAAAATTGGTGCCATATTTACATTAATACTTAATTCTTTTCAAATAGCTCTGTATCTTCCATGAACAAAGGAAGAATATCAGTTATATTAAATACTCCAGCCATGCTCCTCTTTTATACTCTAACCTGCCTTTGTGGATTAGTTGTCTTTGCTTATTTTGACGCTTTGGGCTGCGATCCTCTTAGAGCCGGCGTTAATAATAGCACTATTTTAAATAACCAAAATCAACTCTTGCCCTTCTTTATCAGCCAGGTAATCAATGTTAAGGGTCTGTCGGGTCTTTTTGTTGCTGTTCTCTTCTCCGGTGCACTCTCCACGCTCTCTTCTTCTCTCAATTCTTTGGCAGCCGTTACTTGGAAAGATCTTTTGGAATGGAAATTTCACCATATTCCCGAAGAACGTAAGGCCTTGGCTAACAAACTTCTCGTTGGTGTTTTCGGTATAATAGCCGTAGGCATGGCTTTTATGGCTCAGACATTAGGAGGACACGTACTCCAAGCATCTCAGAGTTTCGTCAGCGGTGTTGCAGGACCACTATTGGGAATGTTCTTATTGGGCGGATTGATCCCATTCGCAAATTGGAAAGGTGCCTTGGCTGGCGGTTGGATTGGTTTAATCTTAACCCTGACCGTTACCATTGGCCAATACGTTACTAAACCTCATAGCGCTCGACTTTCAACAAGTATGAACAACTGCTCAGATTTAAATCTCGTAGAATTAAAGGGAGTTCCAGGGGACAAGGATGGTGTTTTCGGCCTATTCCGTATATCTTTTATGTGGTTTTCGGCAATCGGTACATTTAGTTGCTTAATCATCGGTACCATCGTTAGTCTATTAACCGGTCCTGAAAAACCAAGTGAACAAGATCCAAGATTGATAATACCGTTCTTCCAAAGAGTGTTTTGCTGCCTCCCAATGTCTATACAAAGAAAACTATGGTGCGGTGTCGATAGAGACAAGATTATTGAGAATGACTTTGAAGAAGAGTTTGAAACTGTCGAGGTAAAAAGAGAAAACAATTAAACGAGTCAAACATTTAAGTAATTCTTACTTTCGTTTTATTACCTTTTAATTAGATGAAGGGTAACTCGTCAAGAAACGCCATTCATCCAATGGATAATAAAGTAAATGGACACGAAAATCCAGCATTCCAAGCGGACGAACCGAAGAAAGAAGATGTCACAAAGTCAACTTGAACTGTTTTTTTTCCCTTAACAACAGTGTTATACCTATTATCGTTATTAATATATTATTTCAACTATTTTTACTATTCTGTATCATTTCTTTTTGAAGTATAAATATTAATGTAGACATTTGTTTAAAAGGTGTAATCTTTAACTGCTATACAGATGGCAAACTAATAAACTGCTAATTGTAATAAACATTGATGTTTGCTTATATGTGAGAGAGAGAGAGAGAGAGAGAGAGAAAAGAAACAACTCCATACAGTACATTCATCGTAATTTATTAATTAATTATCTAATTAATTATTCATAACAAAATGAAATAAAAACAAGTTTTTCTTTACATATTCAAAATATTTATTAATTTGTTTGTTTGTTTGTTTTGGCTTTTCTTTTAATATTTCGTAGGATTATCCTCCACTTTATAACCAACCCTTTGATGAGCCTCCGTCTCTGTAGCAGAATAGTCTGGTAGCGGAGCTACTTGACTATCTTTCTTGGATGTCACAATCTTGGAATCTTTCAATTCAATTTCTTCTGTTATCTAAACGCAATAGTAAAATTGTAGTAAAATACATAGGGAAGAGGCTAGGATAGTTAATACTATCAAGATAAACAAACCTCATCTTCGTCAATGGCTTCGCTTGGTTCCCAACATCTGAATAACTTTTTAAAACTTTCAGGTAAACAGCAATAACACTGATCTACAATTGCTATGATATACTTCCGGTGAACGCTTCTCGGATTTGTTGGTCCTGTATTGATAGGAATGTGTTGTTTTTAAACAGATAAACAAATCGTTAGTTGGTGAAAAGGAGGAGATAAGCAAATGTTTTTTATCATTTAGTTGTATAATCAACTATATTACCTGTTGCAAAGGACACAGCTAACCCAACAATAATAGTCGTTAATGTTCCTACGGTTGCGTACCATAAATAAGAGATTTTGTAGATTCCTAATACGTTGCTGATTGATAGGAAAACAGTCGATATTAAAAGGAAAATCTTTCCCTATAAAGAATCTATTTACGGTGGATTTGTTGGAGGAAAAGCTGGAGGCGTATAGTTCAGACATCTATCAGTTACAACTGGTAAAGTTAGAGAATAAGGCTTTGTTATGTAAGCACCAATTGTAATCCACATTGTTATTCCTAGACCGAAAATACTTCCAATTGTAGCACCCTAACAAAATCAATTTTTATTAGTTAATTAGTCCATTAGATTGCTTTCTTTCAGTTGGTTATTATTACCTTCCAATTCGCACAGGGAAATACTGCACCTAGAACAAACATACCCAACAATGGTCCTGCTACACCTGTAACGAAACTTTGAGACGCTTGGAGAACGTTACCCATCTTACTCGCCAAAAATGCCATTCCAATGGCTACACAACCAAAAAATGCTGCCAAAAATTTGGTTACAAGAGCTTTTCTACTTTCTGGAATATGCTTAAATCTCCATTCTAACAAATCCTTCCATGCAACGGCTGAAAGAGCGGATAAAGACGAAGAAACGGTTGATAAGGCTCCAGAAAAGAGAACGGCTAAAAAGAGACCAGGCAATCCTTTGCGGTTGATAGCGTCCATGATGAAATAAGGCAAAAGTTGATTTGGATTTTTGATAAAGTTTGCGCTAAGAGGATCGCATTGAACGACTCCGTTATAATAGGCAAAAACTGTTAGACCAATTAAGCAGGTTATTGAAAACATTAAGCAAATAGCAGGAGCGTTTAAAAGTACAGATCTGTAGAGGGAAATCTTTGTTTATCATTCAATCTTTTAAGAGTGAAAAACCACTTGAAATGCTTACAATTTTGCTCCACGCAACGTTGGTAGGGCGCAATAACGTTGAACGGAAGTTTGTCCAGTGCCAGAGGTTTGATGAGAGTTGACAAAACTTCCAATCATAACGGACCATATTGATAATCTTATAGCCGGATTAAATGTCCAAGTATCCCACGAACTGTTTTTTATAGGAATATGCAACTATTGGCTTCATTAAGAATGTCAATGCTTACCCGAAATCAACCAATCTATTATGCTCCCTCGAAATATCCCATACCTTCTTCAAACCACCAACTTTTTCAACACCCTTTGAATGATTACAAACATTTTATCATTTGAATTGCAAACTTGAATGAACAACTTACAAAACCAAGAATAGCGCTAACGCCAACCATATAGACGATACCTTGGAACACGTCAGTCCAAATAACTGCCTTCATACCACCCTAATAAGCATAAATCCTTTTAATAATTATATAGATAAATTTTGTCTATTACGCTTACGATTGTTGTATAAATTGTTGCAACTATTCCGGAAGCTAAAATTGACGCCCATACTGGAAAATTTGTGACTGCTTCAAGTGCCGTTGCGGGAGAATACATGGCTATTCCCATGTATATAATTTGCGAAAGCATCAAGTATATAGTTCCAACAATTTTCACGGATTTATGCTTGTATCTTCTTTCCAGATACTATAATGTAAATGATATATGGGATAGGAGGTTTGCGGGCAAACGGAATTTGCTGTACTTACTTCGAATGAACTGGTTACGTTCAACGGAAAGAATAAGGGGACAAATACCATTCCAATTGTAACGTAGGATATCGAATTAGCAACGCATTGTAACCAATACATTGTACCTCTTTGGTACATTTCTCCGGTATTACCCAACACCAAAATTGCTGATACAAAACTCATAAACATCGACAAAGAAACTGGTACAACTTTCATATTCCTATTACCCATAAGATATTCATTAGTGGTTTTTTGACCACCTCCCGCAACTGCCGTATAAATTCCTATGCCTAATGAAACGAGAAGAGTAAGCGAAAAGATCAGATAATCCGGCCATGCCAAAGTATTTGTCGTCTTAGTCAGGAAGTCCGAAGATGATGTGGTACTACTGTCCATTGTTCTTGATACTTTTTAAAGTGTTTCAGTCTTTTCGTTGGTCTCTCCGTTCAGACTGTTTGTTCAATTGAGTCTTGCAAACGATTCGAATAGAAGAAGTTGGTCCTCTAACACGTGTATGTTACAAAGATTCTAACGAAAACAAAGGATAAGAAAAGTTATCTGTTAATTTTCTTATTGCTATGGCGCTCATAAACAAGAGATACCTTTACGACTAGCCTATTCATCGTAGTTAATTTTTCTACATGCACATATTTATATATCTATTACTATTAGTGAAACGATGCTATTATCTGTTCTAGTATGCTTATAAAGAGTAAAAGAATTAAAAGATAACGTAAATATGTTATAAACACACTTGAAAGAATTTTTAATATTATAATATCCGCTTAACCTAACTTTATTAATTTGTCCATTAATTTATTACTAATTAGTTAACTTGTTAATTAAATTATTAAAAGTTTTTACTTGTCTTCCGTCTTCTTCAACTTTCGTATTATTGTAAATTCATGTTATATTTTCACTTTGTAATCTTTATCATAAAATCTGTAGGAGTCTTTAGCTTCTCTACGATTAGAGCACTTGAAAGAAACTATATATATCTTTTCTTATCGTTAATTGATTAGACAATTAAGCATGCTCATGTAAAGCTAAAGAGAACAAACATTCCGCTCTTCTATGTATGTGGGTATGTAGGTATTTAGGTGTGTACTGTGCATATAGACAACATATACAAATATATGTCTATGTTTCTCTTTTGTGCATCTGCTCCTCTTTCTCCGTACTGTCTTCATCCGTAGTTGACGAGTTTTCATAATTTTCGGCTCCTCCAGTTTCTTAGCTGCTAAGGAAGTTCAAGATTACTTTACTTTAGTAAAGAGTTCAAGAATAAAGATAAAACAAAAACTTGAATATTATTACTTTGGCCAACAGGATAAATGAAAGAACAGTTTCTAGTTATCTAATTCAATATATTACCAATGCATTAATAAATATAATAAGCGTATTACTATGAGTAATAATCGTAATAATGGATTGTTGAAGAATGAATAATAATAGTAATAACAATAATAATAATAACAATAATAATACTGTATAAAGGGAGGGAAGGTTAAAAAGAGTATTTAGCTATTACTCGGGTCAGCGTTCTAAAAGTTCATACTTGACCTTTAATTAATCGAGATTAAGAGTTATGTGATTTAAACGCACTTTATACTTTTCTTAATAATTTCTTCTTCTTTTTTTATCAAAAAAAAAAATATTAAATCAAACATATAAAAGATCCTTATTTTGACCTTTTTAATGAATGTTTTCTTCTGTCTATCTATCTATCTATCTATCTGTTCCGTCTGTCTATCTCTCTTAATATGAACAATTGAAGAAATCAGAGAGAGAGAGAGAATAAGATTCTGTTCTTTATATTGAAATAGATAAAAATTAATTCTATTGGTTCAAGATGAAGAATTTAGTTAAAAGATAAAATACACCAATTAATAAATATTCCATATTTCTCTTATCTTGTATCAAGTCAAGCTATTCAATAATTAATTAGTTAATTAATCATTCAATCTATCCGCCTATCTATCTATCTATTCACCCATCCATCCATCCATCTTGACGTAGGTGAAAAAGGATGAGAAGGAAAAAATTTCTTTATCATTCAATCTCTGGAAAAGAAAGGAGGAAACTCTAAATTGGGTCATTGGTTCTATTTAAGTAATTTTTCGCAAGGCATGAAAGATACAGATCAACGCTATTAAGATGATTGATAGAAATTTCCCCGTATATTCTCTTCTCATATCGCATATAATAATTTGATTTCTTCTTCTTTATTACCATTTTACTTGCAAATTATCAACTCTAAATATTTAATACAATCAATAATAAAGATTCTTAATTCAATGTCGAATCGAGGCCATCTTCATCGTTTTTCTCCCTATCTTCCTCCAATTTTTTATATTCAGTAAGATACGACGCTGACCGACTTGCTAGTCTGATAAAGAATTAGTCTAATTCTTATTCTCGGATCTATTCCGTTCTACGTAGATGTTATCGTGCCAAGATAAAAAAAAACTGTCTTTTTTGTTTTTTCCCTAATCCTACTTAATCTGTAAGCAGGCTATAAGTATAAATAGTATTAATATAAATAAGGATACATGAACGGACGACTGATTGATTGATTGATTGATTGATTGATTGGCTGATTGATGAATGAATTGAATGAACGCCTGAATATGTTTGGCTTATAACAAACTTTATTTACTTTAGTACCTAGAAGGTTAGTAAGAAATAGTTCGAGTTGTTTGTAAGCCGAGCTAGGCAATTTTGTTTGTTTAATCGAAAGGAAAAGCTATTCCAAAGGCAAATTATATCGAAAATTACATCTAAACAAATTGTTTTTTTATTCAACTTTATACTTTCAACTAGAATTTAATGTATTTTACTACCAAAAACATCTTTAACGCTAATATCTTTATATCCCTCTATCCCGCTTTACTTTGCCTTTATACCCAATAATATAAATTTCCTTTTGAGCCACGAACCTATTGGAGAGGACACCCGATAATTTTCTTGCGGTTGATAGCCTCTTTAATAAAATAAGGCAATAGTTGATTGGAATCTTTTTCTTCTTTTTTCTTTTTGAGAGAGGATAGCATCAAACAACGTCATTATAGCCAGCAAATACGGTTAGACATAACTTATTAGGTTAGGTAATTGAAAAGTTGAATACTATGTCAGGGCCATTCAATAAAACAGATCTGTTTAGGCAAATAGTCATTACTACTCTATAGCTTTATCTTTCATATTGCCCTTATTCGTCCGATGGACGAAGACGATCTAAGCCAAAGATGCAAACTGTGCATTTCTAAAAAACAGCACGCGCTCTTTACGACAATACAACCGAAATGAGAGCTATACAATTATTATCTTATAATAGTCGATTTACAGTATAGTGTTGTTGTTTTGATAAATTTCATTACTGGTCCATAAGTATTATTCATCAAATTTTAATGGAGAAACTGGCGTAATTTTCACTCTCCTAGTTTCATTATAGATATAAGAGATTAGGTAACTTTGCTGTTGTTTTGTTGTTTTTCATCTCTCCCGCCACTTTAAATTATGCTATATACAGGGAGAAAATGATCAAATGGTAAATATCTTTAAAGAAATATATAACATTTAAGAATAAGAGAGAGAGAGAGAGAGAGTGTGTGTGTGTGTGTGTACATCTTTTACAAGAGTATGCCAAAAAGAGTTTGAGAGTAGAGATGACTTAAGTGACTAGTGTTAGACTACATCTGTTGTCTTTCTCTATCTATTAAACGAGGTGCTAAACCGATAAGAACTATTCCAAATCGCTTTTCCATCTCTCTCTCTCTCTCTCTCAAGAATTGCAAGAAGAGAAACAACAACATTGCTAAAAAGCAATAAAATGTTTAATCTTTCATTTCGTATTTATTGTTTATGATGATAAAATTTTGTGCTCATTACAGAATATGTTAGCTTAAGAGATAGAGAGAAAAAGAACTACTATGTAATTGTCGGTCCTGGATTTTCTTGTTGTTCTCATTATCATCTGTTAGATAAATATCGGGTTTAAAGAAGGGAAAAGACAGGCAAGAAAACCAGTTTATACTTGATAGGGCTATGGAAAAGTATAAAATAAAATAAAAGAGATATTTCGTAATCAGGTTAATATATACTGTATACAGTATATATTTATATATATAAATTATATAGTTAAGTATAAATAGCTTAATCAAACCGGTACGTATTTGATTATTCTTCTTTACTTGTTCTTATTAATATTCACAGTATACAGTACTACAGTAATACATTGAGAAAACTTTATCATTAGATCTAGGCATCTGCCTAATAAGCTCTACTTTCCTTAGTCTCTTTCAGTGTTAATTCAAGTATCCTATTGTTTTCGTTATTTCTTCTTCTATTGATCTATTCATTCTGTATGTTTTAATTATTAATATTAATTCTTCTTTTATCATTCTCTCTCCGTTGAACCTTAAGGACAGTGTATTCAGAAGGGAGAAATAGAACAGGGAAGAGAGAGAGAGAAGACAGAGAGAGAGAGAGAGAGAGAGAATAATGATCCATAGGATAGATAGATGGGTGGGGGTGGTTGTATGGATGATTGAATCCACAAATAAGTGAGCGAATAAGACCGAGTGTAGGGAAGGAAGAGAATGAGGATTAAGTAAATCCCTCACAACTTTTTATATTTTCTTATTATTAAAAGGAAAATGAAGAAAATATGGATAATATTCTCTCAAAGAAAGGTCGGTAGCATTAACATATTCTCGGAAATTTGCTGACAAAAATCTTCTTCAATCTCTCTCTCTCTTTTAATAATTGTTTTTTAAGTAGTCCCAAATATTTACCTTTACCTTTTAAATTAAGCTTGTCGACATCTTTCGACACTTTCGAGCACTAGCTAAAGCGCCATCTGTAAGAGATATAGCCACTTGACACAATATAGGCTAACGAAATATCTTGGTAAAAGATGCTTGTTATCCTTATATGGAAAATTGAGAATATGGACAAAAATACCATATATATATATATTGTATGTTCTTCAACAATGGATTGTTTGCCAAAACAAACAGCAATGCCGGACTATTTTAATGCAAGAAACAACTCAAAAAAAGTTTCCAATGTCTCCAAATCTCTCAATCTGACTCTCTCTCTCTCTCTCTCAATTTATCTAAAAGGCAGTTAAAATCTCCTAATATAAATAGAACGAAGGCCAATCTTTAGAACTAAATATTCGTTTACCTCTATTCCATTTAATAAACAATAGATAATATATCAGCTTATATGTATTTTATAGTAAGTTTCAACGACAAAAAAGGGGTCAATATCTGGGCCAGGCCTGTTAACGTTATCTCAATTATTCGAATGCTTATATATATATATATATATATACTGTATATAGTAGGAAACTACTATAGCTAGCCTTGTATTTCAAAAAGAAGTTTGACCAAGTTAGCTTGCTACAACGTACGACCGACAACAGCGAAAAGCTGATAATAGAAGAAAGAATAGAATTCTATAGAAATAAATCATGTTGAATAATTCAATTATTGAAATCGGTAAAGAGTTTATTGAAGAATATGGAAATTTCTTTATCGAACAATTGAAAGATTCCAAATTGTATAGTTTACTTGAGGTTTGTTTACTGTCTCTATATTTATAACAATACAATGTTACTGTTATTTGTTACACTATCTTTACTGTCGAAAATTCTATATTATTCGTTTAATCTTCTCTCTTTAACATCCTTAATTTCCCTTTTTAATTGCTCTTTAACAGAAATTTACAATTAGGCAAATTGTAGCCTATTCGGTGGGCATTTACATCGCCTCCCTTGGCTTTAGAAAATCCATTTCGTTCACCCAATATAAAATAAGAAACCGTCGTCAATTCAAAGGTGTCGCATCACCTCCGGAGCATTTTCTAGGTGGACACGATCATCACGTAAGTAGTCTTCTTTTAATGCTGTCGATATAATCTCTTATTATCCCTTAATAAATCTTACAGTTTGCTGCGAGGGAAGATCTTCCCATCTGTCTAAGAAAATGGCATGAACAGTACGATGGCCTATACAAACTACAATTTGGTTTTCTTTATACGAGATTATCTCTGGGAAAAGCAAAGTATGCCAAGGACATTCTCAATTCGTCGGGTAAGCAGAGGCAGGGAGGCAGCCGGGCTGGAGATATTTTGCTTTTAGGGGTATTTTAAATCGTTCTATAACATGGCTTCCCTTTTAACGCAGAACCAAAGGACCCGTTCGTTTACGGATTTCTCGAGGAATGGCTTGGAAACGGCCTACTTTTAAGTAAAGGCTCTACATGGTTTAGAAATCGACGTCTTCTAACGCCCGCCTTTCATTATGACATTCTCAAATCATACGTGGAAGTGTTTAGCGAATGTTCTAATACATTATGTGTAAGTTTCAATCCTTTTGCGTCATTTTCCCCAAGAGTCTTGGTCGGGTTACTCATTTATCAAAGACCTTAATTGAATTTGTTCCTATACCACTAATACTTTTTAATCATGCATTTTCTATGCAGAACAAATGGCGTAGAGCAATAAAAAATGGTCAAGATGGAAAATACGAAATGTTCCAGAACATCAGTTTAATGACGTTGGATTCTTTATTGAAATGTATATTCGGTATAACGTCGAATTGCCAAATGAAAAAGTATGAATTATATATAGTCTATATATATATCTTCTTCTATCTGTCTCCTGTCGCATTTCTCCCCTCCCGCCCCCCCCCTTCTCTCTCTCTCTCTTTATCCTTTCTTCTCTTTTTCCTTCGATTGTAGACTTTTTCTTTAATTTACTCTTCAATTCTTTTTCAACAGCGAAAATCATCCATACTTGGAAGCCATAAGGAATATTGCAGAATGCTTGAACGTCAAATTTCACAATCCAATACTGATGATTCATCTACTCTTTTGTCTTACACCTACTGGATGGAGGTACTATATGAATCTAAACAGACTGCATTCATTTACCAGAAAGGTTATAGCTGATAAAAAGTCAAACCTAAGTCAGCCAAAGAAGACGAAATTTATCGATTTCATCGATATCCTCTTATCGGCTAGGGTAAGTGTTCTTTTTCATCTATAGTTCTCCTCCTCTTATTCTCTCTTCTCTCTCTTCCAAAAGGATGAAGATGGTAAAGGAATGACTGATAAAGAGATTGCCGCCGAGGTTGATACATTTATGTTTGAAGGACACGACACTACAGCTTCCGGTATTTCTTTCGCTCTCTATAATTTAGCTAGATACCCTGAAATACAGGAAAGATGTAGAGCGGAAGTAATGGAAGTTATGGGTTCATCTGACAACATTTCCTGGTAATAATGATGTATTAAATACTATACATAGGATATTTATATATGATAAACAATGTATGGCTACGAATCATAGACGTTCTTCTTATACTGTATACTGTATATAGTAGGCCTAGCAGTCGAATATTTTGCTGTATTTTTTTAGAGATGTTAATATAGAATCGTTTATTGTTAATACCAATAGGAATAAAGATAAAGTACGAATTTGGCACGTTTTCCAAGCTCTATTATTCAGTCTAATGTGTTTTATCCTCTTTTCTAGGAATGATTTACCCAAGCTGACCTATTTAACGAATACCCTTAAGGAAAGCATGAGAGTTCACGCTCCTGTACCGATTATTGCTAGGGAAATGACTCAGGATAGGAAACTCTGTAACGGCCTCGTTCTGAAGAAAGGAACTGCCGTATCTATCAATATGTATTCAATTCACATGGACGATGAAGTTTGGGAGGAACCAATGAAATTCGATCCGGATAGATTCGCTGACTCTACTGGTCGACATCCGTACGCTTTTGTACCATTCGCCGCCGGACCAAGGTTTCATTTTCTCTCTAATTATTTACTTTCATAGTTGCAGTTCATTTTTAATCTCTTTTTTTATCATTTTTCAGAAATTGTATAGGTCAAAATTTCGCTTTGGCCGAAATGAAGACAACATTGGCAATTATACTAAAGAATTTTAGATTGAAACCAATAAACGATCCCAAAATTATCTTTGATCTTGTTTTGCGTTCATCCAATGGAATAAACGTTCAAGTTGAAGCGCTTTAAACAAAAATTTAAAGAGGTTAAAGAGGGAGGGAAGGAAGAAAGGAAGGAAGGAAGGATGAAGAAGATGATGAGGAAGAAGAAGAAGGCTACAAATACTTAGAAGACAATTACTGTCAAAGAATTGTAGATGTTTAATTTGTTTAGTTAGTTCTCTGTCATTCTAATCCTATGTTTAGTTGCCTTCTTCCTTATAAATACAATATAATTAAAAGATTAAATGTTGAATCTATCAATATTATAGTGTTATTAATTTCAAATGACAAAACAACACATGTACTAGAACCATTTATTCTATTCATATATAGTTTTTTAATTGTTCTCAACTATTTGTCGCTAGTATTCTATTTTTAATTAATCAATCAAAATGAAGTATTCTCATAGATTTAAACGTATAAATAGGTAAATATGTAGCTGGTCCTCTCCTAAATCTGATTATTTCATTAAAGACGCCAGCTACAGCGATTTTTTGCAGTTGAAACAAAAATGATTGATGTACGCTGTTGGAACAACTTTAAGGAACTAAGCAGCTTAAAACTGTTTTCAATTTTCCTGGTAACAATAGAAAAATTCCTTACCTTTTCATTAACAAATAATCAAAATTCATATATCTCTCTTTATTTCTTAACGGTTATTCCACTACTTGGATTGTTATTTATTCGATATTCTTATATCTTCTTACTACTGCAATAAAACACTTGCTTTCCTTTATTGGCCATCGAAGACAAGTTGGAAAAGATTCTCGCAATATTCCACAACCAAAAAAATCCAAATCGGAAATTTTTGGATTTTATTGATATTCTCTTGTCTGCAAAAAGTTCGTAGTTTAGCTTTCAAATATCTTCGTCTCTTCCTTTTCTACTTCATCTAACTCTCTCCCTCTCTTCTAGGACGAAGATGGTAACGGCTTGACTGATAAGGAAATTGCCGCCGAAGTTGATTCGTTTATGTTTGCCGTTCATGATACTACAGCTTCGGCGCTTTCGTTCGCTTTGTATAATAACTTGGCTGAGCATCCACAAATCCAAGAGAAGTAGTGAATGTTATAGGCTCTTCCAATAAACTTGGTAAATAAATATATGATATTATCTCATCTTTAGTAAACATGTCTTATTATTGTATAACCTTGAATTACCCTTGGAAGAAGTAAACATTACTTCTAAACACCACTTTATCTTTATTTTAATCATTAATAGGGATGATTTATCAAAATTAACCTACTTAACGAATTCACTAAAAGAGAGCCTGAGGATCAACCCTCCTATTTCCGTTATTGCAAGACAGTTAGACAAGGATAGAAGGTTGGAAAATGGAATGGTATTACCCAAGGGTATGGCCGTTGATATAAATATCGCCGCCATCCACAAAGATCCAGATGTATGGGATGAACTAGAAAAGTTTAATCCCAGTAGATTCGATAAAACTAACGATCGACATCCCTACGCCTTTACACCATTTTCGGCCGGACCAAGGTAACATTCTACAAGCCATCCGTTTATATCAATTAAAGTAACAGGCAATTTTTCTCTCTTTCCCTCCTTCCAGGAATTGTATAGGACAACATTTTGCATTAGCAGAAATGAAAACTTCACTGGCCATTATCCTTAAGAATTTTAGATTAAAACCTTTGGTCGATCCCATACCGATTATCGATATTGTTTTGAATTCTTCAAATGGAATCAACATTCAAGTTGAAAGGTTATCAAAGTACAACAGATTGAATATTATCGAGAATAATAATATCAATAAAAGCAAAATGAAACAACCTGGTAAAGAAATTACCGCAAATTCACTGTAGGCCTATAGGCAGTATATATAGAAATATAAGCAAACAAGGGAAAGAAAATTCAAAATGAAATATATTTGACCTGGAGAAGAAGAAGAAGAAGAAGAAGAAGAAGAAAAGCGTTATTCTTTAATAAGTTAAAAACGGATTGATTTGATCATTTATGCATTTATCTATTGATCTCCGTCTATCAAATTCAACATGAACGGAGTGAAACTGAGCGGAAAATTTAAGGAAAATGGAAGGAGAGTAAGAGATGTTTGGAGAAGCGACAAAAGCAATTTATAGTCTATTTATACAAGCTGAAAAAAAATTACATAATAGCTTCGACTATTAATTATTAACTGCTTAAATATTATATTCTTCTACTTTTAGTTTGTTTACTTTAAAGTGGTTAGAGTTTTAACTCTTCTCTCTTCTTTTCTTCTTCGATTATAATGTCAAGGTCAGTTCTTAGACTAGTACAACAAAAAACTCTCCTATACTCAAAATATGTGGTCGCTATTTTTTTTTTATTGAGAAAACCTGTTGACCTATTTTTATTCAGCCAATTAGAATAGACTGTTAGGGTTACTTAAGTCAACTACGAGACTTTTAAACAGTATCGTCCACTGTTGTTAACTCAGCAATCAATCAACCAATCAATGTTAGAAACGACAAGACATTCGTCGACAAAAACAAGAAAAATTGCGCAATATAAACTTGAATTTCGGGTGAGTAAGACGGAACAGTCTCTAAGTAGGAAGTGGGAATTATCTTTCAGATTATCCCTTTATTCGTTTAATCAAAATGCAGATACAAAAGATAAATTTATGTATAGTAATCTAAAAGAATTGTTGGCAAATAGTATTGCTTTAAGCAATGATTTAACGCAATTGAGAAATCGACGCCCTCCAACTCCCTCGTTCCTTTATCACATGTAAGAAAGTTCAGTCTCTTAATTCTATATTGCTTCCTTTAACCTATCATTCTCATTTCAGGGGTATTGCTATATTAGACTCTGAACATATTTCTAAGCAATATTTACTCGTATTCTCCTCTTTTCTCTATACAAATTTCCGTTCTCCTTCTAACCTCCTTTCCCATTCTCCCTTCAATTTCGAACAAGATTGTAATGGAAACTACTCATAAGGGTGATTTCGCATTAGTAGCAATAAAACAATCCATACTGTTTTGAATTCCTTGAAATAAAGTCGACGTTCAACAGATGAATATATTGTTAAGAGATGGAAGAGTACAAACAAACGAATAGCAATAATATCATCTAATATAATCAACTTGACAATAGCTAGGCCTTGATGCTGGGCTGAGTGGAAGAGTTCTTAAATATTTTAATTGTTAGAGGTCGTGAGCAATAGTGTTATCAGCTGTTAAGCAATACAGTATAAAAACACTCTGTATGTACGTACGTATGTATGTCCGACTGTCTGTCCTTTCTCTATCTATCTATCTATCTATCTATCTTTTTATCTATCTATCTATCCGCCTATGCCTGATCAATTTTAACACGATTCGATGCTAATAAATTCAATAAAGAGATAGATAAAAAGAATATTAACCAATTAAACACCTTTATCTTTTATTAAAGAATAAAAAGTTGCAGTGTTATCATCTCCCAAAAAATACAACACGTAAGCCTACCATATGTATATATTTTGTATGTTTGACCTAGTCAGCATTGCATAATGCTGAACAGTATTTTTTAAAGATACGAGTTGAATATATTCATTTATTCCAATATTTCTCTTCTATTTCTCTCTTTTTTTTCGTCTTTCCCTTCGTACTATTCTACTCCTTCTCTTTCTATTGTTAACAATTTTTTGTCTAATGAAAGACTTTCTAGTATTGTTAATATTGAAAAGAGAAATAACCCATATTTTGCCCTTGGACCTGATCAGAGGAATTTCGTCTGTTCAACCATTAAAGCATTAGTTAATTTGCAATCTTTTCATGAAACAATAAAGATCACTTTGGTAATTATTGGCTATTTTGCTTTTTGTCTTTCCTATATCTATACTTTTATCGGCTAGATGAATAAAAGAATTTATAGGCTACTAATTTACTATTTTATCGCTCATATCGGAAGGCAATTCAAAATGTATTTATGAGCAATCTGTTTCACAGGTTATCGGCTTTGAAGAGATTAAGCTAAAACATTAAGATGGACAGGTCGGTTGCAAAAGGTTTCAACTTCATCAATGAAACTATCAACGACATTGATCTGGAAACGCTTAAAGAGCGTCTAATTAAAATATTTGGATACTCGGCAGCGATTTATTTAATTTACACAACTTCAAAGAGTATCCTTTCGACCTTCTTCCTAATTAAGAGAAATAGGGAGCAATGCAAAAATATCCCTTCTCCGCCAGGAAATTGGTTCTTTGGAACAATCGCTCAGGTAAAACAAATACACTTAGATCATTAAGTCATCAAATAGTCGACAACTAGCTACTTCGTTTTCTTTGATCCATAGTTTAAGGATAAGGAAAAAGTACCCGAAAAGGTAATCAAATGGTCCAAAAAATTCAATGGCCTCTACTGGATTCAATTCGGGCCAAGTTACATTCGTGTTGTTGTTGGAAAGGCGTCTCTTGCGAAAGAGATATTCATGTCAAATGGTATTTACAATCTCTTCAATATATAAAACACACCTGTACTATTCGCCGATTTCACAGAGCCCAAGGATCCTAAAATCTACGGTTTTGTTAGAGATTGGCTTGGAGATGGTCTCTTATTGAGTCAGGGAGCGAAATGGTTCAGAAACAGACGGCTACTAACGCCGGCCTTTCATTACGACATTTTGAAACCATACGCTTTCGTGTTTAACGAATGCGCTAATGTTCTTGTCGTACGTACATTTTATATAAAACTGTTAAGCATTCTCTCTATTCCTCTATCTTTCTCTTTTCCTTATTCAAACAAATTTTTCAATTTAATCATTACCTTCTCTCGAAAAAGGACAAATGGTCAAAATCTATCGATGATGGAAAGGATAACATTGAAGCTTTTAACGATGTTGGCCTAATGACTCTGGACTCTCTTCTCCAGTGTATTTTTGGTGAACATACCAATTGTCAGTTGTCGAAGTAAACCTAATTTCTAACCTTTCAAACAAATATTATCAAACGACATTACACGATTATTATATTACAATGTATAATGTATAATACTGTACGTATCTTATATATTGAACAGAACTACTCATCCTTATCTACAAGCTGTTGAAAGAATAACCTTTCTCACCTCAAGAAGGATCACTTCGGTATTTTCGAGCATTCCTTTTCTCTACCACCTGACTCCGAGTGGTATAAAGCGATTTTATCACCTTTACGTTCTTCATTCGTTCACCAAAGGAATTATTTCCCAGAAGAAGAAAAAATTGTCCAATGGAAAGGTAATTAAACTTTCGCTTTTCTAATTCTCTTCCTCCTCTTCCTCCTCCTCCTCCGAGTCCTCCTCCATTAACTTTAAGCCATCTTTTCTTAGAAAGAAGCCAAGAAAGGTAAATATCTGGATTTTATCGATATCCTCCTTTCGGCAAGGGTTTGTATTCTATTCTTTTCCTACTTTTAGGATTGGCCTAATATTAATCTTCTTCTTTTCTCTTTCAAGGATGACAACGGAATAGGTCTAACTGATCAAGAAATAGCTGATGAAGTTGATACGTTTATGTTCGAAGGGCATGATACTACGGCTTCCGGTTTATCTTGGTGTCTTTATAATCTGGCCAACAACCCAGAAATTCAAGAAAAGGCCAGGAGAGAAGTATTGATGATATTTGAAGAGAAAGGATCGGATAATCTTGAATGGTAGGGAAAATAAAGGTTATTTCCTCACTGATAATCTCCTTATTCCTTTTAGGGACGATCTTTCAAAACTATCCTATTTGACTCGAGTGATAAGGGAAAGCCTACGGCTTTCTCCACCTGTTCCATTCGTCTCTAGGCAGGTTACGGAAGAAAAAACTCTAAGTAATGGGCAAAAGATAAACGTAGGAACGCCCGTAAGTCTTTCTATCTTCGCCATTCAAAGAGATGAAGAAGAATGGCCAAATCCAGAAATATTCGATCCTGATAGACATTTGAAGGATAGCAAAAATAAAAGAGATCCATTCGCTTTCGTAGCATTTTCAGCAGGACCAAGGTTAGACGCCCCACACGACTAGAATATAAATATTTCATTTTATCTATTATATCATATTTTTTTTATCGACCATAGAAACTGCATTGGACAAAATTTTGCAATGAATGAAATGAAAATTGTTATGGCTGTCCTCCTGAAGAATTTTAGATTTCACAAAATCGATGGAAAAGAACCAAAAATGTCATTTCAATTAATTCTCAAGTCGTTGAATGGCATTAATCTTAGGATTGAGAAACTTTAAAATGACTCTTTACTAACATATTCGTAATATTTTTAAAAATTTAAATTTAACGAGATAGGCGTCTCTTTTTTTTTTTTAATGTGCTTGCGCTTTGTCGTTGTTTTTTTATAACATCTACGTAAATGTTTGTATCCAAGTGCCGCCTTAATTATATCACAATTAACTTTTCCACTGATTTCTAACATTTAATATCCTTTTATTGATCTTTTTCAATGGGAAAAAAATTGAAATATGCTCCAAACTCGTGCTGAGAGTTAGAAAAACCTATATATTATATAAATATATATATATATATATATATATATATATATTGTAATAGAAAAGCGTCACTGGTACGCAAATATTGGAATTTCCCAGGAAGAGCAAGAATAATCTACTTTTTAAAAAATTAACAAATTGCTAAATTGAGCAGGCGCTTTTGAAATATAACTGCTAACCTTTATATCTATATGATTTATAGATTAGACGCCGTTGTGCGAGGCTTTTGTGTGGTAGTCTAAACGCACTATACGTATCTCTCTCTCTCTCTCTCTCTCTCTTTCTCTCTCTGTCTATACAGTATACAGTATATGTATATATGTATATCTTTACATACATATACTTTAGAGCTCAATCCCTTCATCGATAATTCATAGTCTTACCGCTAATTTGTAATTATTATGAAATAACTATGAATAAAAGCTGATACCATTCGTATAGATTTGTTAGATGTTAAAAGTGACGCTGCTAAATAAATTAACGACCTAATAGAAGGGATTATTTTGCTAGGTGTTTGCTGTGAGGGTTAGGGAGCTTGTAAGTAGGAGGGGGAAGAAAGACAAAGATATCAAGTATATATTGTATTCATTTATATTCATAAGCGATTATTATTCGGTGATGTCGTAAAAAGTAATTATTGGATAGCGGAAAAGTTGTCATTTTATCCTTTCTTCTATATAAACAAATCGATAAACGTTTAAAGGTATTCGCACAAAGAGGAAGCGGTTGGGAAGAAAAAGACAAGGGGAAAGTGTCGCAAGGAGCGAGGGAGGAATAGGCAGACTGATAGAGAGAAGGAAGGAAAAAAGAGAAAACATTTTAATAAGATTAAAAGGGGAGACACTCCTTGTCATTTTTTTCCTTGACTAAAAGTGTAAAGAGAAATATATCAGGTGTTAATTATCAATTATTTCAGCCTATATCATGTATATAGAAATCAATTGGATATTGATAAAAGGGGAATAATATTGTATACAGTAAATGTATTGTTATGTAGAGATGTTGAAAACTGTCTGCTGAAAAATGGTTAGACTCTATAACTTGTATATGAATAGATTTTGTAAATATTTACAGTGATTGTTTACAAATTGACTGAATCTTTTAAATGTTTAGTTCGAGTAAACTTTTTGTAATCCGCCCTCAATTAGGCCTTTCTAATCCATTTAATAAGTTAATCTACAGCCTTCAGATATATTTTCATATACTAATATACTGTAATAGATTGTATCAGTTTATTTTCAACTTGTTATCAATTGTTATATTTGTTGGTTAGCAAATCTTTAAAAAAGGGGAAGACAATAGAAAGCAAGATATACGTTCGTACACATCATTAGGTAGATATAATTGTGTATGAATAGAGAGATAAGCGTGAATAGATAAGGAGACAGAGAGAGAGAGAAAGAGAAAGAGAGATATAGCAAATAGGAAATAAAGTTTCCTTATTCCTCTATCATTCATCTCTACCATCGTCGTTCCACTTTTCTTTGCCTTTCTACTGCTCCTCCCTTTATCCTTTCATCCCTTCATCCTTTCCTCCCTTACTTCCTTACTTCCTTTTTCCTCTTTCCTATCCTCAACTTCCAGTAGAAAACGAACCACTCAATCAAAAACGTTGTCGGCTTGATTGTCGTCGGAGGCTGTATGACGTAATTTAACAATTTTCTTAAGGAGGTTAGTGTGCGGAATAGGTTCGCTTTTGGTTGATGATAAGGATAGAGTTTTCTTCCAAATATTCCTAACAACATCATGATTGCTGTTATGTTTATTGGGGGAATGCTTTTTTGCGCTTTCAGTACTAAAAATGGACGATTGACTTGAATGTCTTGTAGATTCTGACCTATTTCGAGTTTTTAATTGTTTAACAGTATTGAATAAAGTATTTGATTTCTTTAATTTAATCAAATTTTGTAATTTCATTTTAGCAGACGAAAGTTTTTCGGCTTTGTCGATAGTTAAAGATTTCTTGGGAATTTGTTCAAAAGTTTCCTCCACTTTAAAGGCGGTTGTATAAGAAGTCGAACAAACATCGCTATATAAACCAAATACATAGTGGAATTGAGCTCTTTTATAGGCGGCCGACGCCGTTTTCGGCCTATCCAGAACATGATTTGTACCTGCAGTTTTATTTCTATTGTTACAATTATTATTGCTGTCTTTATCGTGGGATGATGAGCAGTCTAACGTTGCCGTAATTGTTTGTGGATGGTACAGCGTTCTCGCCGATTTACACCTTCTCATAGGCAATTGCTTAAGTTTAAGATTCTCTTCTAGAACTTCTAGAAAGTCTCTGCAACATTTACCACCAACGAAAGTTTCCAATATCTCTTTAGCGTTTTGAAATTGAACGTCGTCTCTCATCGTTGTCGACGCTTTTCCGTCGACGTATAATATTTTGGCAATATTGAAATTTCCTTTAGAACAAGCCAGCATCAAGGCCGTCATACCCTTGTCTTTTGTTCTTTGGTCTATCGAAAGTCTATATTTGGTCATTCGTTTAACAATAAAGCTTGTTAGCTTTGTGTATCCTCTTTCAGAGCATAAATGAAGGGCAGTGTATCCATTGTTGTCGGCAACCGTCAAATCAACCAAGTCGGAAGATAGTAAAAGTTTCACGGCTGAAAAGTATTCGTTCTCTAACGCCAAATGAAGAATAGTCTTACCGAATTTATCTCTTGAATTTACAAGATCCGAACCCTTTCTTTTTATCAATATACTTATAAGATTTAAAACTTCTCTCCTATCGTTGACGTCTACAAGCGCGCATTTGTGCAATACGTTCCTTCCATCCTTTTCGTCTTGGTAACAATTGTCAAAACCCAGTTCTAGTAGAATGCCGGCTTGCTTGTACCTTTTTTCTTGAAAAGCCTTCGTAACGGCACAGCTCATTATTCCCCTAGTCGAAATGAATGGGAAGTGTATAGAGACTATCGACTTTGTAAATGTGTACACAATTAAAGCGGTGAGGTTATTGACATTTATTGCATGATTAAATATGGCGTCTAACTAAATTAATATTAATGTTCCACCTATTTGATATCAGCCCATCTACTATGACGATATAGGGGAGGGGGGCGTTACTTTTCTTCCTTATTTTATTTTTTGGAAGAAAGGGCGGGTATCGTTCTCTCTCTCTCTCTCTCTCGCTCGCTCCCTCTTATTCCAATTCCCGCATAGTTCATTCGGTCTATTGTAGCCGCCTATTTCCCTCACTCCCGTCCCCCCAAACTGTACATTTCTTTCCTTTCTTCTTCAACTCGTAGAGGTATCTATCTTCTTTTTTCTCTTTTAGAAAAAAAGAAAGACAAATTGAATAAATTACTTTTTCCTTTTTCCAGAATTTTTCTTTTATTCATCTATCTAAATCAACATTGGAAATCAATTGTAAAACTATCGTAATAGCGGAAAGATTTGTTGTACATTTCAACACCCTCGTTCATTCTCTCTCTCTTTCTCTCTCTCTCTCTCTACTTTATTATTTCGTGAAACGGTTAAAAAGTCTATTTGAAATTTAGAGTTGTTGTACTCTTCTTTGATTTATTTTCCATACAATCTATGCATTGGCTTTGTATTTCTTTGTATTTCTTTTGCACATTTGTTCTTTGGAGAAAGGAAAAAGTATAACACTGCATAGCGATCTATATGTGTTATAAGGTGGGACCTCCTACACGACAACTAATTAGCTAACTAACTCGGCAAATCTTCTTTAATAAATCATAGATACTCTGTCACCCACACTCCTCTCTCTCTCTCTCTCTCTCTTTCGTTTGCTCCTTTACTTCGAGTAGTTTGCTACTTGACACACTTTATATACTTCCTTTCCTTGATTCGAGTGTAAAAGAGTATTTACTTTATGCAACTATATCGGGTATACTGCTATAGAATATACTGTATGTAACTTATAAGCATACTGGTACTTGAACCTACTCTATAGATAATAACAAAACTAATCTAACCTTCTTAATATAACGAAAGAAAAGGAAAGTAAAAGAGGATAAATAAGAGAAGAGAAAGGGAAATAGTGAGTGAATGAATGAAGAAAGAGAGAGAGAAAAAAGGACCTCATGGTAATTTCTCTCTCTCTCTCTCTTAACGCTCCATATTAATCATGCAATATACCCCGTAAATCATTTCTATAAATCAATAGGAAAAAAAAAACAACTTCCGAACTAAAACCTTTTAAACCATATTTTTTGCTATTATTGTTGTTTGCTATGCCTTTTTCCCTTTTTACAGTTTTTATATCATTAATATTTATCCTTTTTTTTTCAATTTTTGCCTCTTTTCATCACTCATTTCCTCGTCAATTCTGTTTTCTTTTTCCCTTCCTCGATCATAAGAGGAACGAAATATACTCAGTCCTTTTTCATTATCTCCTACATCGTCATCGTCGTCGTCATTACAGTATCTATTTTTCCATTTTTCTTCTCTCCTATAGATGGCGTAAAGTTTCTTCTGAACCGCTTAAAAGTTGTCAAAGAGAGAAGAGCAAAAGTAGAGATAATGAAATAATTTTATTCAATGATTAGTGATATCTATATATGTTAGCTTTAATAGTATTAGTGTTAGTAGATTTATTACGGAGACGCCTTCTGAATTGTCTTTGGTCAACTATTCATCCAGTCGTCTCCTCTTTACAGCCTCGTTTCAAGGGGATCTATATCGAGATTAAAAAAGTGTCTGTTGGCGCATGTTCTCCCTCCAACTTTACTAAATATTTTGTAAATCGTGGTTCTCGTATTGAGTGTAGAAAGAGTTGAGATAATCCGGAGGTAGTTGCGTTGTATTCATTGGATCGGACTGTAGATGATGGAGGATTGGAATTAAAAACATAAAAACGAGAGGGAGAGAAATTGAAGCATACAAACCTGTAACTCATTTCTCGATCTAATCGAATGATAAACGCCATCGTCTTGAAAGTTTTTCATCTCTATAAACTTGACAGGCTGCGAGTTTGGCTTGATTGTTTGGATAGAAATGCGGGGCATTTAGTACAGAATACTCTTTTAACAGTCTTGTTTTATAAACATATATAATATATTTGATAATAGATGTTTGAATAGGGCTTACTTGTTCTTCTCTCATACAGCAAACCTTCGCGCAGCACACAGCCGACGATATTACTCCCAATACTCCTTCTAATATTGAACAGACCACTATCACTATTGAAGTGATTACAGACAATTTCTAATTACGGGAAAATGATTAATAGTCAAAGAGTGCAAGTTGAAGAGATATTTCCTCTTTTTTATAAATATGTTACTTCACCCTCCCATCCGTCTGTTCGTCTATCTATCTATCTATCTTTCTTCCTTTCTTTCTTTCAATCTTTCTATGCAACCCATCCCCTCCCCACTCTTGTTTTAATATAGATACTTACAAGTGAAAGTTGATCATTCGTCCAGTCGTAAGCCTCGAGGTATCCCTTTGAAAATTGAAATTTAAATAGAGACATTCCTGATAGAAACAAGAGAGGCAAACAGAAAAAAGACGAAAAGATCGACAGAACCATAAATGAGATGATCTAAAAGGAAGGATAGAAGAAAAAAAGAGATGAATATAAAAGGAGAGAGAGAGAGAGAGAGAAAAGAGAGATTTCACTTACGAGACATTTGTCTTTCTTATAACCGGAAACTATTCCAAATATTCCAGAGATGGCAAAAAATAGTACACACCAATAGACGTAAGCAAAACTGCACATTACTTCTAATTCAATATTATTGAGATAAGAACCCTTTTTAGAATTACGATCCGATAGAACTCCGATAAGAGTTGATATTATTATTAATAAAACTGTAGCTAAAATAAACTGGAATGCTCCGAGTAATTTTGCGGCATTCGCCTTAAATTTTCCAACCCTTCTTCCCTTCTTTCCGTGCTAAGGGAATCGTTAAAACTACGATTATAAACCTATAGTCGATCTTATAAACAATACATTTACTTACGTTATAACCATAGCCTTCCGGTTTGAGAAACGATTCCTCTTGTTCTCCAGCTCCTCTCATGCTTATTTCGTATTATTTTCAATATATTCAAGATGAGAATCCTACTTGTATATATATTATACACGCATATCTATTCATATATACTGTATATATATATAGATACATACATATCTACTCTTCGTACGTACAGTATAAACAATTTTAAGATGTCTCTCTAAATCATATGCAATAGGCTTGAAAGATACTTTCTACTGTTTTTCTATAATTACTTCTCTTTGGTATGTTATTGTTTTCCTCGGCCTATATGCAAAAATCAAGGACACTTTTTTGCTCTTTTAGGTTAAATAAAAAATAGCGTCGAGGTAAAGAGTTACTACTCATCTTATAAAACTCTTTTCTAACGGAAACTAATGTATGGATATAGGATTAATTTTCCCCCGCCCCCTCCCCCCACCTTCCTCCTCCCCATCTTATGGCCTATACAAAATAGTATCAACTACTCAACTACCTCTGCTACCAACGTCATCACCGCCACCGTTACGGCTACTACTTTAGCCATCGTTAGCCAAATTATTTGCAATTCGATACCATTTTCTACTACTATAGATGGCGTTACGGTAATTCAGGCCCTCTGTCATATATACCGTATACAGTATATATTAATATATATATATATATATATATATATATATATATATATATATATATATATTGGAAATATTAAAGATAAGCCTCACGTACTCACCTTTTTATTAATCAAACGTTACGGTTTTTCTAATTATAACAAGTCCAAAGATAAAAGTTTGCTTAGCTTGTTTTTTTTCTTTCTCTCTCTCTCTCTCTTTCTCTTAACGGATTTGTCAGCTTTAGAAGCTACGTAGCACTGTGTAAGATATACTTGGGCACTCTCACACAGAGGTTTTATACAAAAGTATATACACAGGGATAGAAAATAGAATATAGCAGAGTAAAGCTAACTGTCATTTTCCTTCGGTATTGTTTATATATAGGGCGGTTATTTGGGGGTTGTTGACAGCCTAACACCCTCTCTACTTTATCTTCCTTCCATCATCTCATTGATGGTAAATTTATTAAAGATATTTTGTATTTAAAATAGCTCGCTCACCGTGTCCTTGTGAATGGCGAATGCGTGTTGAAAAGTGTTTGGCAGGAAGAAAGGAAAGAAATAAGGAAACGAAAACGAAAAGCAAGAGGGAAAAGAGAAGAATGGAAGAAAGAAGCGAATGAACAAGCCAAAAGAACGAGTGTGTGAGTGAATGAATGAGTAAATAAATGGATATATTTATATATACATATATAGATAGATGTAAAAAATATTACTATATTATAGATAGACCGCAGATAACGAAAACTGAGTAAATAGTAAATGTATGAACTTTATTTTGGTTAGGAGGAGATATTTGTAGATTTAATCCTTAACAATATCAAATAAAGTGCAAGAAGAGAAAAAAGAGAAAAGACTATATAAGGAGGTGGAGAGGGAGAAGTCTAGGGAGAGAGAGAGAGAGAGAGAAAATATTGTCCCAACAGAACATTAAAAAAGAACCTAAATAAAAAAATCATTTTTTGAATAATTCTCTATTTTTATTACAAAATTTTGGTCTTATCTTGTTTCGTTAAGTGATTAAATATGCATTGTATACACACGCCACTGCTTTATTCAATATTGTTCAACCGTTGTAATACGTAACGACATGTTTTACTCGCTCACCCTCTCTCTCTCTCTCTCTCTCCTTTTCTAAATTACTGATTCGCTTACGGATACAAACACCAAGATACACACATACAGATACACTCATATATATATATATATATATATACACGCATATGTTGTTATATACACTATTCCTTTCCCCTTCTCCCTTCCCTCTCCTTAATTATTCGTTTGCTGGTCTGTTGAAAAACAAACCAGAGGCAAAAATAGGAATATAACAGCGTACCACGTGACTAAATGCATATTCATTGGACGGCGAGAAGCACGTGATCAAGTAATCCCACTGCATTTGAAGCTTTACCGTGGAAAGGCGCAGTTTTTTTTTTTATTTTAGAACCGCTGCCGAAAACATTCGTACACTTGAATTTTTATCGGAAGGAAAGAAATAAAGAAACAAGTCTGTATTGAATTTGTTTTGCCAATAAAATTAAGAAGGAAAGGAAGAAAAAGAGAAGAAATTGTTGAAAGAGGATTATAATATAAAGAATTGAAATAATAATAAAAAAGGAAAACTTCAAAGGGAAGACAACTTAATGAGTGGAAGAATTTTTGAGATAATTTCCTTTGGTTGACAACAAAAAGTGTGAGTAGTTTGTCTTTTCTTGTAAGAAGGTTAGGAAAACGTAATTAATCTTGTTTGTCGAGCCGCGGCATGATAATAACTATAAAATCTCATATTTATATTCGTTTATATTCGCTTTCCTCTTGCTTTTGAATAAATTCTGCCTGTTTCGTAAACATCACGTCAGTTTCAGGCGTCAGAAGGCGCCAAACCCTTCTCTCTCTCTCTCTCTCTCTTTCATAAAAAATCCTATCCTTTTTCATAGCTTAAATCTTTTCCCTTTCCCTTTCTAAAATGTAAATTTTTGCCCTCTAACGAAAACTGTAAACGAGTGTTTTTATTGCCTGTAACAAGTTTATTTTTCTTCCTTCTTCCTTTCTTGATAATCGAAAATTAAAGAGGAAGAAAGATAGAGAGAGAGAGAGAAAGAGAAAAAACTTTTCTTAAGCTGTAACGTCGAAGATTGAGTAAAAATATATAAACACTGCTGGGAGTGTGTTTATGAAGAGTAGAGAGCGAAAGCTAGAGAGATGGAAGAGTTGAATGAAAGAAAAAGAATATTTCATTTAAAGTGCTAATTGTAAAAGAGAAAGAAAGGAAAAGTTAAAAAGTAGAGAGAACGAGTATACGTTAAAGAAGCAGGAAAAGTAATAGTGTGGATAAATGAAGAGAGAAACTATTACAATGACTCTAATTAGTTGAATAGTTAGATAAGCGGCATACGTTTATTAAGAAGGAAAAATTCATCGGTTTCCATTATTAATTGCGAATTGCCTCCATTATCATATATGCATACTGTATTAGTCTTACTGTACGCAATTCGTATAAACATCATACACGCTTTATATTTACGCGGCAGCAAATGTATAATACAAGCTCTCGGCATGCTCTATTTACGGCGTCTAATCGCCTTCCAACCACCTGAAACATTAATCCTGGCCAGTCAATGTTATTACTTTCGATGCATCACTTTTATCCCCCACCTCGTTGCCAATTTCTTCCCGTTCTTTTATACAGGTAGCAAAGTAAATAGATTGTTATGTAATGTATTTTACAGCTGACTATGAAGAAAGATAGATGGAGAGAGAGAGAGAGAAGGTTCATATCCGTATTCAAAACTTTTACACTATTCTCTGTTAACTAAAATCAACAAGACAAAAAAACTATCTTTCATCAAATATTTGATTATGAAATAAAAGACATACTTTTTTTATTATTTTACAATTTACCTCGAATATTTCTTTCTTTCTTTCTTTCTCTCTCTCTCTCTTCAACATTTTTCTCCTCTATTTTCTTTTAAGGTCAATTTACCTTGAGCAAATATCCCTTCTCCAGACGATGATATCGATCTCTTATCGTAGCTTCTAACCCTCTCTACTCGACTGCCTACCCTTTCTTCTATCTATCTATCTATCCGTCTATCTAACCATTCAACTATCTAACCCTATTCATTCGTTTAATCACTTACTTAGGTTCTTATTATTTACTTATGTACTTACTTAGTCACTAGCTCACTTGTCCATTCGGTCATTCTTTTATCCATCCACCCATCTATCTATAACCCTTTTTCTACATTTAATCAAATTCTATGTTACGTAATAGCAAGTAATTCCTAAAATAATTTATAGACGGACTTTTCTTTTAAAAGCACGCAATAGAGCTGTTTTTCACAATTAGATATCTGGTCTTTTTTTCTCCATTCAGTTTACTTGTTTTCTCTCTCTCTCTCTCTGTTGTTTTCTTTCTTTTTCTTTCTCTCTTTCATATATATATATATATGTAAATATATAAAATATAGCTTATTATATATTAGGTATTGATATATTTCAAATGTATTCATTGAGCACAAAATCTTACTAACTAGATGTAAAAGTTGTTTTGTTGTACTTGATAAATTGTTCACAGTATCTAAAGGCTTCCGTGCATCTTCTTTTCCCTCTTTTTCCTTTTTTCCTTGTTTTCCTTCTCTTATATTCTTAATAATCGCGAAAGAGAGAGGGAGGAAAGCTGGCAAATAGCCGCTAATAAGATGTTCTTGCCTTTCCTTTAATAGGTTATATTTTTTGAAAATAAAAACAATTACTTTTTATTTCTCCGCCTCTCTCGTTGCCTCTTTCTCCATTTCCTACTTCTTTTCACTTCTCTCCCTCCCCGCTGCTGAACTATGTTAGAGACGTACAAAAGAAAGGTAAGCAGGACCTATTTTGTTAAAGACAGAGAAGAAACAAGATTGCGAGTCTTTATCCTTTCAGTATAACAATTAATAAAAAAGAAAAGGAACATTTCCTCTTTATCGATTTAATAGGAAAAAGTCTCTAAAAATTCGTTGGAACCTTTTCATTTTTCTATTTATCCTCTAAAAGAAGAAAAAAGTGAATTACGACTCCCAATTTATATTCCTTTTCTCCTCAGAATACAAACTTATGCCTTTCCCTTCGCCCTTTCTTTACCATCTCTTTGCTCCTATTCAATCTTTTCCTAACACGTCTCTTTCCCCTTCCTGTTCTATTCTGTTGGTTTTCCCCTCTCTCCTCTCCTTTCCATAAACATTTCGTCTTTATCTCCTCCGCTCTCTTCTTGACTATATTCACCTAATCCCAACCCTACTCTGTTTCAATTTAGACTAAACAACAAAATGAAAAAAAGCAGAACCGTCTTTTTAAAGAAACGTCAAAAGTTAAAATATTTATATTTTTCCCGATTTTGTGGATTTTTTTCTTTTTAGTGTTTCGATTTTTGGCAAAAGGCCAAAATGCTTCGTTTCCTTCTTTCATTGTAAAAAAATGTTCATCTGATAAAAGGAAAAGAAACATTTATTTTAACTGCGTAGAAAAAAAAAAGAGAAAACAAACCTCTTTGTCCTGATTCGAATTGGGCGTAGTGGGCGAGAAAATGGGCGTATTAGAGTGAAAACTGTGAATACATTCATTCCAGAATTTGGACAGAGAGAAAAGCCAAAGGCGTATTTTTCTCCTTTTAATGAAATAGTCAATGAATGTCGCATATTTGTAGAGATGTTTGTTTTACGATAAGGATAGAGAGAGAGAGAGAGAGAGAGAAAAAATGAATGAATGAATGAATATCAGGAATGGAATGAGAGAAAGAAGGTGGGACAGACGACTGAGAGGGAGAGAAGGAATTAAGAAAAAGAGAAGGCTAGAGGAGAGGAAAGGAGAGAAGTGGTGGAGAGGGAGAAAAAAGAGAGAGAGTGGCAGAAGAGAGATTAAAAGTTTAAAAAAAAAAAAATACAACTAAAACGACAGGCCTACTGACTTAATTAATCTCTTATTTAAATTTGACTGTCTAAAAAAAGAATGAAAAGGGAAGAGAATATGGAAAAATGATGAAGAATAAAAAAAAAGCGGTTACCGATTAATCTGTACTAAATTCAAAACAAGTATTTATTTAATTCCCTAATGAGATTTACATTGCTTAAAATAGCTATGTACAAATCTCATAGCATAATCTATCTATTGTAATTTGTACAATTTTCTCTCTCTCTCTCTCTCTTTCATTCTCCTAACCCTTGTATATTTCGTACAATTTGGTCTATATTTCAAATATGATTTTCTCTTCTTCTCTCTTGCGATGCTAAAGAAATATGCTTAAATAACAAAATAGAGGAAAAAAGAGGCTGTAAATATACCTTAGACTTTGTAGAGAGATCCTAATGAAAGAAGACTAACTTGGATGCTTCTAAAGTGGATATGTCTGAAGTAGTTTACACCTTATCAAATAAGGATAGATTTCAATAGGCGTATATTCATATTTTAGTAGCGAGTAGCTGTGTTTGTAGTTTTTTCTTCACTTATAATTCCGAAATAATTCGTAAGCGAAACGGATAAGGACAAGGAAAGGAGGAAGGAAGGAAGGAAGGAAGGAAAGAGGAGAAAGAGATAAAACTATTGCTTAAAAAACTATCTATCTTGAAACGAAAGACAAGTAGAGGAGAGGGAGCAAAAGAATATTCAATACAAATCAACTATACAGAGATTAGTGTTGATTAAACTCGGCCCGCCCTGAACAACGATCCTTATGAAAAGATTAAGTCGGACTCTTTGCATTCACTCGTTCATTCATACTTTCTTCATTCTTTCGTATTTTCAATAAAAGCTGATTAAAAGGAAATTGAGCATGAAATGGTTGAAAATGTAAATAGGATTATCTATTATATTCGGCCATTAAATAATTACTTATTGATTCATTATTTGTACGAATAAAGATTTCCTTTCTTTGATTGTCGCTTCAAAAAGAAAAATCACCTTCTCCATTGAACCCCGTTCCTCTCCTTGCCGCCCCTCCATTCCGTTTCTCCTCAACTTTTAGCAAGTTGTTGATTCTTTTAAATACACCGCTTTGTCTTCTCTTTCCGGGATTGGCGTTGAGGTGTAAAAATGAATAAAAATAAAAAAGAATGTTCTATTTATGGTTGTAAACTTGACAGTTTATACCGACAATAGCGAATCAGACTAGATGAGCTAGTAGGCAAATTTCTATATACATAGAAGGAAAGTCAATATTTTTATAAAGTGCAAAAATGCATGGTCACAAAGTGAGTAATGGGAAAAAAAAATATCAAGAGAAAGAGAGAGAGAGAGAGTGAAAAAATCTCTTTCCCCTCCCCTTCATTCCATCCTTATTCAAGAGAAAAACAAAAACAACGAGTAAGCCCTATTTGAAGAGTGAAAGCAGGAAATGTTTCTCTTTCTGTTCAAAAGAAAAAGAACAATACACTCTCATTTCCAACGAAAAGCTCTGATGCAAAAAAATTGCACACAACTGTTTCTTTAGATAGAAACTAAGCGAATTTAACAGGCGGTCTCTGCCTATCTGCCATTTGTCAATTAAGAATTATTGTGCTTGTTTGTTTGCGTATGGGAAGGCGTGACGAGATGAGAGGAGAGAAGCGGTTGACAGATGAGCAGGGAAACACGAATATGAGCAATAGGATGATGACGCAAACAAGCAAATCAGTACACAGATCTACGTAGATATTTACGGACTGACAGACAAATAAATAGATAAATAGATAGATAGATAGAGAGAGAGAGAGATGGACAGAAGGATTAAAGGAAATTGAAATTTCTTTCTCCTATTTTTGTCATTTGATACTTGTTCCTTGTAGACTATATTTATAGTATTGTTGTTGTTATAATTCCGCATTTATACATCTGTCGGAAAAGAAGTCATTGATCTAACAAAAAGAGCATTAAGGAAGCTTCTCTTTTCTGGGGGCTTGTCATTGACGAGTTGCTCCAATCTCGGCTATTTCATCTTCTTAACAAGTCCAATATGCTCAGACTGTCTTTAATCACTTTAGCCGTAAACTGGATTTATGATATACTATTGATAACGTGACCACCAATACCATTTCCCACTAAGAGATATCAACAGACGAAACCTAACCACCAAACCAGTTATGTTTATAATGTAATCAAAGAATTCAACGTGGATGAAACTATAAATAGTGAAAAAGTAACGTGGGAATTTTGTATGCAGAGCCTATTGAACTATGGTGGAATACTCTCCGCTCGCATGGATTATATATACTGTATATAAATGTGATAAGGTATATACAGAGCCCAGCCCACTTACAGTATCTTCTATACAGGTCGTGTACTCTCTCTCTCTCTCTCTCTCTCTCTCTCTCTTATAAACTGTACATCCACGCTTATACTGTATTTTTCTAGCAAATGAACAATAGAATTAGTAGACTTACTTATTTATACTGCTATTCAACTTTATAGCAGCCGTGTGTCAATAACAGACATAGGCCAAAAAATTAGGTAGGTTAAACACCCGCCCCATGTAAAGATAATGGACGAGTGAATGGAGGAAAGAAGATAGTCTAAATGAAGGGGAAGAGCAATAAATTTAGAAGAGAAGGAGAGAAATATTTAGAGATAAATAAAAAAAAAGAAACTAAGAGCAGATGCAACCATTCGTCTGCTAATTATAAAAATGTTGATTACTGATTTAGCATCAACGATTAAAGCACGCAACATCTATGCAGTAAATTACTCCCTTTGCTATTGTATACACTTGAATTATGTACCAGTAAATTGGTCTATAAACAAAATGAATAAATATTCTCCCGTTTGCCTTCCAGTCTTTTTCTTCTTTTTCTTCTTCTTCTTCTTCTTCTATACTTTTCCGCTTATCGTAGGCTGGAGAATTGAATGTAAACAGTTGCCTATAAATATCAAATCCAATATAAAAATTAACACGTAAAGACTAGAGGAGAATAAAACCTTGGCAGATGGACTATATTATTATTTATTATTAATATTACAACTAGTGTTATTATTCTTCTAGATCCAAAAATAAGTCTTGGTACCTTTAATTGCTAACACAAACGCTTATAGCAGTTGACAAAAAGGATGATGGCGAGAGAGAGAGAGAGAGAGAGAGAGAGAGAGTATTAGTATAAGAACAGCAATAATGGGAATTTTAAATAGGCTAAAATATGATATTAATAAATCAAAAAAGTTAATTTTTCACGAGCAATTAGTTGCAAAAAAGAAAAAAGATTGAAAATTCTAAATTCATTATCTTATCAATAAAATTTTTTTACCTGTATTTTTCATTTTATTACGTGATAAAATCATTATTTTTCACCTGAAAAAATATTTAAATAAGCCATAAAAAAAGTAAAAATAAGTTGTAAATATACATGGGAAAAAAAGAAAGAAAGAAAGAAAGATGGTTGTTTGCCTTGTTTAGTCAAATTTCACTCTTTATTGATAGAAAAGCGAGACGGAGAGGTGTAAGCATAGATGGAAGCAGAGAAGAAGATCCAGAAAAGGGAAAAGAGAGAGAGAGAGAGAGAGAGAGAGAGAGAGAGGGAGAGAGAAAGGGAAAAAATTTACTTTTTGTACGCAATTTCGCAGAGGTTTTTTTTGTTATTTTACAGCAGACCGAATTATTAGCTGTTCCCCTTATTTTCTACTTGTTACTTTATTCGCAATTAGAAATAACAATCGAGTTTACGAAGTGGCGGGAAAAGGTTGCAGATGGAATTGTTAAAAGGCAAACCCTTTCCACTTTTCTTCATAGAAAATATATTATTTGCATAATTGAATAGTTTCGTTCATATTGTCAAATTGACTACTACGAAAATATACAGCAGTACTCGTCTAAATTTACTTGAATGTGTCTCCATCTTTTTCCTTCTCACTCATCTCCCTTCGTGTCTCTATCTCTCTCCACCGCTTTCTTTCTCTCTCTGTCTCTCTCTCTCTCTCTCTTTTCAAGGAGAAATTAAATCCTACTCCCAAACAAACTACTAAAAACCAGTCAACGTAGACCTATTGGTCCGCATTAAGAAATGAATCGCGTGACTATGACAACGTTCTAATCACATGGTATACACTACGTATTTCCGTATATCTTTCCCAATAGTTTGACCCGCAATTCTTATATAGGCCCTTTTATATTCCGTTACAATATGGTCTACATAAACTAACCTATAAAATGACTATTAACTAAGCAATCGCTGTTGAAAAGTCTCAAGACTAGAGCCGTAGTTAGTTTGTGAATATTCACAAAATCATTAAATACTTTCAATAGAAACAAAGTAGATAATTCGTTTATTTGTTATTTGTACATGTTAAGAGTTGTTGTTTTCGTAACGAGCAGAGCAATAGATAAGTAAAATTAGCAAGTCTAAGCGACAAATGAGGTCGCCGTCCTTTGTTCCTAGAGCGAACACCTCCGAGCCACTCAGTTAGTAGCCAAAGTGGTTGTTGGTGGTAGTTGTTCTTCCCCTATCAATATTAATAATAACAAAGAACATGTTTTCTTTCTTTTTGGTAATAGTCGACTACAGTTATTTCTAATGATAAGCCATAACAAACTAGTACAATCAGCTAGTAATGACAAAGTAAAGCAACTAAGGGGGGCAAAAAAAATCAATCAGCGAGAAGAAGATTGGGCCTACTATTTCAAACTGAATGCTCAATCGAATATATTAGACGTCTTCATAAAGACAATTAAATATTAGTAATAAGTACAGTATTATATTCGTTATGTCAAATTATCAAAATAGATTTGATTGACAGGTTAGCTATTCTCCATTATAAATAAAAATCTTCTTTGAAATAGGCTTAAACTTAGAGTAAACATTTGCCCAGAAAAAGTCCAATAATAAGAAAAGAGGATATTAATGGTGGTGAATGAAGGATAGATAGAAGAAGTATAAAATAGCCGAATGTTCAAGTTTTCTACTAAATTTTTGAAAACTTTTATCTTTATCATCGTTAACTTTTTACGTTCGTTTCGCTTCGTTCTCTTTTCTTCTCTTTTCTTCTCTCTCTCTCTCTCTCTCTCTCTCTTTTACTTTTATTTATGAATTTACTCAATCCTATTGTCCTCAAGTATAGACTGCCCACCAAATCCATTCTATAGTCTATTCACTCATTCGTTCGTTCATTCGTTCGTTCGTTCGTTCGCTCGTTCGTTCGTTCAATCGCCTTTCTTTCTTTCCTTCCTTCCTTCCTTCCAATTAATTTATGTTTAACGTTATATTCCTTTAAAGAAATGATTATATGAAGTATTTAATGAGAATAGTTAATTATAGTAGTAATAGCAATAATGGTGTATGTCATAATTATACGAAACACAAGGAGGACGAGTGGGAGAGAGGTTAGCAAAGTTAAGAGTGTCTGAGAATGGAGCGTTACTTTATTTTGAGGAAAATCAATAAAATTGTTATTTCGTAAGAGGAAAAAATTTTGCAGCGCAAAGTTAATGATCCATAATGGTCGGATCTAAAGGCTCAAACACAAAACGCCAATTATGAAATTGAGAGAGAAAAAGATTGCATGAGTGACTGAGTGAGTGAATGAGTGAATAGTGGTCCCCCTAACGGTTAAGAACGCATAAAAATTTTTGAATTGCAAAAAATATCAGACAGACAGATTTATTGTATATTTTATTTGAATATTTAATCTTTCACTTGCGTAGATTAGTCAATTTTTCACTTTTGTCTTATGTCTATCCTGTGTACGCAGTATATCAGAGATGTTGAATAAAGAAGAAGCATATACTCCTTTTAGTATTTAATAGAATTCTTTAAGAGGGAAAACTGTCTAGCAGACTGGTACTTAGCAATTTCTTTTACCCACTAAATAGAAGACTTACAAGGCAAAGAAACTTTCTATAAAGAAAAAAGAAAGTTGCAGTGAAAATATAGTGAAATTAGAAATGTATTACTTTCTTTTTCTCTATCAATCTATCTTAACGTTATTTACAGTTTAATCTTTCTTTATGCTTTATCTGTCCATTCTTATCCTCCTCCTCCTCCTCCTCCTCCTCCTCCGTCTTCCTATCCTCTTGTTTTTCTTTCGCCGCTACCAATTACTATTGTCATTATTAATATTTATATCTGCTATTTGACTTCATAGTCTAATGATACGTTAAACGTAATTTATTACTAAATCCATTAACTGATAACTAAAGTGACGCTGTTGGAATTGCAGATTAAACGACACGGAAAAAGAGAAACGAAACGATTAGAGAAAGAAAGAGTTAGAGCGTAAGAAAGAAAGATAGAAAGGAAAGAAAGGAGAGCGGGAAGGGAAAGAAGAAAGAGAGGGTGAGTGAGAGCGGGAGAGAGCGAGAGAGCGAGAGAGAGAGAGAAAGAGAGAGAGAGAGTGAGAGAGAGGGAGGGATAGATAGATAGAAAAAAAGAATCTCTTCATGGATAATTCGTCCAACGAAACGAATAGAATTTGGAAGCAGAATAAAAATAATGGGAATATGAATTTATTTAATAAAAAACTATGGTCGAAAAATTCTACATCTTCAAAAGGAATACCGACGTTTGGAAACGATAACGAAAGATCTAACTGGAAAAGAGAAAACAACATTACAGATTTATTTAATAATTTAAAAATCAACAATGTCGATAGAACATTTTTAGAAAATGAAGAAAAACTCAGAAAAGAAATTGAAAAATATGGTAAGTTTTGTTTTGCCTTTCCTTTCCATTAATTCTAACTATCTTCTTTACTCTTGTCTCTGTCTCTGTCTCTCTGTCTATCTCTCTATCTATCTCACTCTATCTATCTATCTTTATCTATCTATCTCTCTCTCTCTCTCTCTCTCTCTCTCTCTCTCTCTCTCCTTTCTCTTCCTTCTCTCCTTTATCTCTGTGTATATCTGTTTTGTTCGATTGTCTATATTGCTCTTCATCAACCTACCTACCTGCCTGCCTACCTACCAATCTACTTACTTACTTACTTACCTCTCCTCTACCGCTTCTCTCCTCTCTTTTACAGATTCAGGCAACAATTTCGATTTATCACCCAAACAAGAAACGCCTAAAGATATTAACAGTTAGTTAACCAAAATGAAAAAGCACAAAAAAACAACATGATAAAGAATAAAAGTGTTAAAAAAATACTTGACGTTTCTTTATTTTCTTATCTAAAAGATACTTTTCTGAATCTTAATCTTTTTTCCCTTTTTTTCAGCTAATAACCGCGGATTAACTCTTAGCTCCGGTTACGAAATTAGCCCTTCCAAATATGGTAGAGACGCTTTGCTTCTTTTTTTTCTATTTAAACTCTTCTATATATTATACTGTATATATTAGTATACTGTATATACTGTATTAATTACTTGTTTATTCTCGTTCTGACTATTCTTCCCTCCTTATTCTTTTGAAATAGATAACGAAACAATATCTTTGTGCCGAGCCAAAAAATGCGGAGATGGCGCTTGTACGGTCATTCTACACAAGAATGAAACACTTAAGACGATCATTTGTAAATGCCTCAATGAGGACAAAGAACTTCGGAGATCGGAAGACGGCTTTTTTGAATGTTTCGATAAACACGGCGTCTTTCCCTATACTTTGGGGAATGTGAGTTCTTGAATTATTCCCTTTCTGCTTTTTTTTCTCTCTTTTTTTCCCTCCCTTCTCCTCTGTCATCGTCATCTTCCTCTATATTGTCAAAGAGTCGATGGGAACGGCTTTTAGTTTGCACTCATATTTAACCCTGCTTCAATTAAACAGCAGAGCCCTTAACCCGTCCAATGACGGATGGAATGAATAAAAAAGAGTTGCTCTGCTCCCATCAGCCCTTTTTTTATTTTTTATTTTTTGGCCGTGCAGGTTTTTGCGTTTCTTTCCTCTCTCTCGTCTTTGGGGTGGGAATGGGCAATGCTAAATGAATCGGGAAGGGAAGGGAAGGGAGAGGCATCGAAGAATGCAATATATACTGTATAGGGGAAAGGATAAGATGGCGGATGAGATGTACATTGTAAAAATTCAAGTGAATTGTGCCGAGTGTAGACTAGAAACATTCTGAATTCTCGATAAAAGCAATTCAAAGAGAATGACATGAGTAATAAAAGTAACAAGAGTAAATAGTAGTATTATTCGTTTTTTTCTCTTTCTTCCTTTCTTCTTTCCTTCCTTCCTGTATTTGTACGTTTACCAACACGTATAATCATTTAATCACGTCCGCAGCCATTTCCAAGCAAAGCTCCGATCCATTCAACATTCAACTTCAAAGTTTTGGCCATCACCGTTCCATTGACAGTCATTCTCCTTATTCTAATAACAGCTTTTGTTATTGCCCTCTTCTACAAACGGAAGCAAGGAAGAAGACGTATGAAACTCAGTAATTCGGTGTCGTGGATGAAAAAATCTGATTCAGTAGGCCTATTAGACCAAATGTCAGTGGTTAGCAAGAATCCTAATTATATGAGAGAAATGCTTGGTTTCTACTTACCGCCTCATTTGGCTAAGAAGAAGATTATGGAGGATAGACTAGATATATTCAATTGTATTGGCGAAGGAGCTTTCGGAAGGGTTTTCAAAGGTCAGTTTACCCCTTTTTTTCTAGACAAATAATTGCAGTCTAAATAAGAAAATAGCTTGTTAATTTTTCTTTTCCATTCAATTAATCCTTTTCCTCTTTTTTCCTCTTCTTTTCTTGCTATTCCGTCACTTATATAGTCGCTCCTTCTTTTGTTCAATTTCTATACATCTCTGTTTCTCTCTCTGAAGTAAAGAGAGAGACAGAGAGACAGAGAGGGAGAAGAATGCTTTTCAGCCGTCTTGTCGGGTAAAATTGTCTTCTTTACCTGTTGGAATTATATTAATTTAGACTTTTGAATGATCAAGTACAACAGTAAAAGTAGGCTTAGATTACAATTTGGCATTAAACTGGTCTAGCCCTGACTATAATGGAATTATTCTGAGAGAGGGAAAAAGTTGATGTGCTGTATAAACCAATATATCAAATATATATACTGCATACCTTGCGTAAATATATATATATATATATATATATATATATATACAGTATATATACTGTATATAGATAGATTAGGTTTTTAGGTGGAAGAAAGTCCCTTTTGACTCTCTGTCTGCAAGTCTATAAAAAGACATTTAATTAATCAATTTTTAAAGTTTAATTCATTTGCAAAAAGAAAAAGGAAAGAAAAGCTTTAAATAAATGAGAGAATGAACAAAAAAGGAGCGAAAAAAATCATATTCTTATTAAGAACTAATCTGAAAACTTGAATGATTTCCCTCCCTACTCCTTTATTAAATCGTACGAAAACGTATTACGGATTGGCAGCAAAAGTGTATGGATAACCTAACAAATCAGCTATACGAAATATCTAGTTATACTCTATACAGCATATGCAAGATATATTAAAGATATTTATACGTCGTGTAGAGAATATCCGTAAATAGAGTCGTCAAAATACAGTATATATACAGTATATATACAGTATATAAATATATATATATATATATATATACATATATATATAGACACTATAATACAGTATATAGGCCTATGAACGAATAGCAATTTTACGAGGATTAAGGAATGGAGAATCAGAGAATAAAAGTGAAAAATGTATTTAATCACAAATAGAGAGCGAATATCAAAGAGCCAATCGGCTGCAATTCAGTGCCTCTAGAAAACCGGAAAATTATGCAGTGTCCAACGACGCCTAAAATAGACGCCGTCGACGCTGCTTTCCTGATCGATATCAATTTGGAAACGGTAAATTCCGTTGGCGTTTTGCAGGCTACTTTATTTAGAAAGTAAATTCTACTAAGAATCTTTTTCTTCCACTCTTACTCATTCTTTCTTGCTCTACTCTTCCCATGCCTCCGTTCACTTATTTTTATATAGAGCCTCTTTTTGTTTCGGCCTTCTTTCTCTCGTCTCTTAAACTTTTGTTCTCAGATTATATACAGTAAGCTGCGTATAATTTTCTTTTTTTATTATAACCTCATTCATCCGGCTAGTCAGTCTCTACCACAGCTTGTTTATAAATATAATATATACAGTATGTATATATTTAAGAGTAGGCCTATCATAATTTTATGGCCATTTTGGCAATTTTTCCCCCCTCCCCCTTGTTGAAAATCTTGCTTGCATCGGTCGACAATAATTATATCGATTCTTATCTTTTCTTCTATTGCCCCTCGTCACCTTTCCCAATTGCCTCTATCCCTCTTACCCTTTTGTTTATCTATCTAAACCATCTTTCTATTCCCTAACTTGAAGAGTCCAAAACAATTTCCTTTGTCTTGCTCTATCAAAGAGAATTACGCCGATCGATTCCATATCAACAAAGAGTAAAATAAATTAAGTGAACAACGTAGTTCAATGAATAGCGAAGAATAAAGTTAGGAGAGATAGATAGATAGAGCTAGAGAGTGAGAGAAGAGGGAGGGAGGGAGAGAGAGAGAGAGAGAGAGATTGAGAGATTGAGAGAAAGAACATATAAATAAATACTGCAAGCAAAGAAAGTAAATATCTTATTAGAAAAAGCATGATTGTTTATTGGTAGTCAATTGACTAAGAGTGTGGGTTAATAGAATTTATTATGCAGTTATCGTTTACATATTATCAGCTATATTGCGTAAAGGGTAGTCAAGGTTAAATAGACGCTTTAGTTTTTATTTACCGAAAGCCAATTATCCAATTAATTTCCTCCTTACATGATCTTTTCTCTCTATCTCATTTTCCCCCCCTTCTCTCTCTCTCTCTCTCTCTCTCTCTCTCTCTCTCTCTCATTCTAATTTGTTGTTTACTACAAAACAACTTAGAAGTTTCCTCCCATTTAGCTTATACTCAATTAGGTAGCTGTCGTTTGAAAGCACCATCTATCGGTAGTCGAATGTTTCTAATGAAACAGCTTGTAGAATTGAAACTATATATAAAAAAAAAAAGAATAGAAGGAAGCTTTTTGAAAATTAAAGACAATAAGAGGATTCGCAGTTATTCCAGTTCGTTTTATTAATATATTCTTTATACTGCAGTATCGAGGTTGAAAATAAGATGTAAAGCATAAAAAATGAGGAGAAAGGGGAATCTAGATGGGATAGATATAGAAAGGGGAGGGAATAGAAAATGATACAAGTTTAACACGAAGATCCCTCATTAATATTGTATAATAAGGAAGAAAAAGAGAAAAAAGGATAAATTGTTTACTGTAATAGAAAGACAGTAAAAGAGAAGGAAGGAAGCGTTCGAATGTTTAAAAATGAGAATTTTATTTAAGGGAATTCGATAATTCTTATAAGATTACCGGCTAGTCGGACTTCTTTAATTTCGACCTTGGACAACTTAATATCTGAGCGAAAAGAAAAATATTTAAAATCTGATCGATTTCATCAGCATCCTCTTTCTTCTCATCTCCATCATTCTTCATCTCTTCCCTTCCTTAAAAAATGATAAAAAATTTCTCTTCTCCCTCCCCATTCAATTCCCATTATTCCCATTAGGATAGGCCCCGATTTTTTTTTCTTTTTTTTATATGTTCTCACTCGTCTACGTCTCTCGTTCTCGATCATTCAAACTTTCATTCTCTTTTTCTCTTCTTCTTAGGTTATCTACGATCGGCCGGAAGTGATGAAAATATTTTAGTAGCTGTGAAAATTCTAAAACCCGGCGTCTGTTCCGAAGCCAAATGCGATTTTTTGAAAGAGATTGATACTATGAGCGCCTTTGATCATGAAAACATCCTTAAATTGATCGGGATTGTTGTTAGAGGTTTATTTTAACAACACTAGTGACATCTATAGATTAAATATAACCTTTGCCTTTTTCTTTCCCCCTCTCGCGCCCTTTCCTTCCTCCCTTCTTTCATCATCTGAAGATTCGGCAGAGACGCCTGAAATGGTATTTGAGTATATGGACTATGGTGATCTTGCCGAATTGTTAAGACGAAGCGACCCATCCGGACCAACTGCTTCTGCTGCTCCACTCGAAATACGAACGGTAATTACACGATGTATTGTGTCTTCTACTCAGAATTAATTACTAGGCTAATGGATAGATGGATGGATAGACGGACCGATTGGCAGCTAAAGTGATTAAGTGACCAATTGATTAAATGACTGATCGATCAATTAGTTAATCGACAAAAATTATTGACTAATTTTTTTCTCTGTCATTTATCCATCTATTTGCAAATCCGTTCATTCATTCATTTATTCATTCATTCACTCACTCATTCATTCATTCATTCATTTATTCATTCATTTAATCATCCATCCATCCATTCATTCGTTCATTCAATCATCCATCCATCCATCCATCCATCCATCCATCCATCCATCCATCCATCTATCCATCCAGTCAGTCCGTAACTCTCGTTCTCTTATTCGTTCTTTCATTCATTCATATGTTCGTCCGTTCATCTATCTGCCATCCACTTATTTGTCTATTATCTAACCTTATTTCCTCTTTTCTCCCAATCGAATAGCACGAACTTGCCGATATGGCTGTTCAAATTGCTGCTGGTATGGTCTATCTAGTCGATAGACACTTTGTTCATAGAGATTTGGCTACGAGGAATTGCTTGGTCGGCAGGAATCTGGTAGTAAAAATCTCCGATTTTGGTATGTCACGTGACATATACACTTGCGATTATTACAAGGTAACGTTCTCATCGGATAGCATATTACTGTTCGTAGTGTGATTAATATCGATTGAGACGAGTATGTTGTCGAGTATTAAACGCTAGGGAGTAAGTTAGCAGTTAGGGAGCGAAAGACGTCTTAGAGGTTGACGCAAAGGTGAAGGTGAGGGAAGATTGACGCATCAATGAAAGGGAATGAGATGAAAGGTAGAGGGAAGGGAAAGATTAGTTGAAGAAAAGAAAGAGAGATCTAGGAGTAATTATCAAGAGAAAACGGTAGTGAAAGCGTCCACTGTCAGGGAATAGAATTTGTTTATATTGAATACTACAAGTAGAAAATAACAGATTGGCGGTTCTCGAATGCTACCTGTTAGATGGATGTCACCGGAAGCGATTAAATATGGAAAATTTACAACCGAAAGCGATGTTTGGGCATTCGGTGTTGTTCTATGGGAAATGTACTCTTTCGGAATACAACCTTATTACGGGCATACGAACGAAGAGGTTTGTACACTATGAAAGTTAATCTTCCTCTCTTTGATCTGTATCTCCTTTCCTCTCTTAATTAGGTAATGCGATTTATATTGGATGGAATAATGCTTCAAAAACCAAAAGATTGTCCATCGGCAATCTACCATACAATGTTGGGTTGTTGGCGTTCCACTCCATCCGAAAGATCAACATTCCAAAAAATAAATCATCACCTGGTTGAATATTGCGAAGGACTCTCTAAATCTCCTCTTCTTCAAACGAATCCCAATCAATTCAAATCCTCAACGACAACAATTGAAGAATTTTGAATAAAGAAGACGGAGAATAGACAAACTTGTCTTTGATATTTTCAAAGTGAAGAACGTTTTCTAATTTCAGTATTTCAGTTCTTTTTTTATTATCTTCTCCTTTGGCGAGGGAAGACGGGAAAGAAGGAGAAGAGTGTCTATTTTCCTTATGTATACTGTATATGTTATTTACCCTGTATACATGTCCTGCAATGTATTACGTAATTTGAAAAAAGGAAAAGAGTTCTACGAAGAATCTTCTTGCCACACATACACACACACACCTATATATATATATACTGTATATAAATTTATATATATACAGTATATACATACATACACAATCAGCCAACTGGCTTTGTTTCTTCTTGGCTCGACCAAAGAGACGCTAAACTAAAACTCTAACTACATGTATAGACTTTATACGTTTTAAATATATATACATATACAGTATATATATATATATATATATATATATATATATATATATATATACAGATATAATTGACAGTTGTTTATTTTCTCCTTTGCTAATCTATCTATCTATCCATTCATCCATCTATCCAACTCTCAGTGTCTTCGCCAGTCTTCCAGTCTTACAAAGAGGGAACGGGGAAAAGCGGCATTTTAACAGAGAAAACAGAGACTATACTATTACTTTTCATACACAATTAATATATAATATAGAAACAGCGGATATAGGCTTGAAAGTTTCTCTTAGCAGCAATTTTTCGCTATCCATCTTGTAAATGGACTTATATAGGAAACTGTGACGTCATTAGTTATTTATGATTAAATGAAAGCTTCGGCATAACTAATTGTGTCAAGTTGAAGGGAATGACTGTTGAATTTATAAGCATTTCAACACTGTTCGAAAAGAGAAGAAGCAAAAGAAAGTGAAAGAAAATATGGTGATTTTATACAACGGTAGTAGTTACTGGAAAGATGTTGAGCTAACTGTTTCAGATGTAATTATCGTTAGCTTTTGGCTTATTGATCTAATAGCTGCAGTACTTGGTACGCTAGGCAATCTCTTAGTTATATTTATAATCATTTCGCAATACTCTTTATGGACGTCGGCTAATTTTCTCATTCTTCAACTCGGCTTTTTCGATTTGCTCATATGCGCTCTAAGCCAATTTACCGTTTTGGCGGGAGCTCTTTGGAACGGAAAGGAATTATTTGAAATCTATCCATGGAATATAATATGCGACGCTTTCGGTCTTGTTTGCAATTTTTGCTGTATTGCTAGTCCCGCAGCATTGGCTATTATTTCATTTAATAGGTGGCTTTATATCGCTAGACCTCACTTGTATCCAACATATTTTGGTCGAACGGGCACATTTCTATTCATTATTCTCATTTGGGCTTATGGCTTCCTAGATATTCTTCCTTGGTGGATCGGTATGGGAGATCTGGGATACTATGCAAGTCATTTTCTCTGCAATATTCGGCTAAATGAAAAATTCTTCGTCCTCTGGAATAGCGTTGTTGTATTTTTTCCGATAGCTACGGTCATAGGGTTTAATATGAGCATTTTCTGTCGCGTTCACATGATTAAGACAATGATCAGGAAGATGGACAAATCATCAAAAAAGCGAGTGCTCAAAGATGAAATTCGTCTAGCGAAAACCCTCTTCCTAGTATCTATAGTCCTATTCCTTTGTCTCAGCCCCATGAGCCTGGCATTAATTTTCGACCCCTTCACAACCAAGTCAGGCAGACCCTTCTATCTAATCTTTACTTCATTTTACCACCTCAACTCAACTATTAACCCTTTCCTATACGCAACTCACAGGAGATTTCGTCAAGCCTACAAGCGTTTCTTTTTAAACGTTCGACATTGTAAATCTACTGAAACGTTAAGCAACAAATCGAGATCATCCGTTTAGAGAAGCGTTTTAGTCCAATTTCTCCATCTATTTTCCTTTGTCCCCGATATTATTGTACAATCAGTCTCACCTTCTTGGATGTTGTATCGTCAACGAAGAAGGAACGTAGTACTCACTTCTTCATATGTCGTTTGTACGTTCTATTAATAAATTAGCATATAAAAAAAAAACAAAAAGCGAACCAGAACAAGGTTAAAAGAAAAACGATGACCTTTTCATATGGGTCGACTTATAACTAACCAATCAATACTTTTGATAGAAACATGTTGCCAATTTCATTAGCAAAAGAGTGGAGCAGCAACATATTTAAATAGTTTGTTATTTAATTGAATGAGAGAGAGAGAGAGAGAGAGAGAGAGAGAGAGAGAGGGAGACAGACAGACAGACAGAAAAAGATGAACAGAATAGATTGTTGTCTATTTGTTCAAATTCCCTAGAAAAGGGAAAAACATTCCGCATATAGGCGGTTAAATAAAAACCTTGCCTTCTTTTGTTGCCATTCAATTAAATCGTCTGCTAGAGGCTTTTATCGAGTTGTTTTTCTGTTATAAAAAATATTGCTGCATGAGTAAGTGAGTAAAAGGAGTTGGGTGAAAATTGGCGTAGAAGGGAGAGAGACAGAGAAAGAGAGAGAGAGTGTGTGTGAATAAAAATGAAATAATCCTTAAGGCACAGTTCCTGACCGAAACAGAAGAAGAGGAAGGAGGGAGAAAAGAGAAGAAAAAAGAGACTGGCAAATATGGTTGTCTCCAACGAAGAAAATAGATTGGGAATTTGTGATTGTAGATTTGAATTTTCATGCGAAAATTTTGGATTAAAGAATGTTAAAAAAGACGCTTTTGAAAGTTCTCAATGGCCATTTATAAACAAAATAAGTTTCTTTATTTATCGTCTGTTAATAGCAATATATCATATTGTTATTATTATTCTAACTGGTGCAAATCCTCATTCCCAATGGTTAAAGGAAAACACAAACAAATACAGGTAAAATATCTTTAAATCTATCTCTTCCTCATCTTCCCCTCTACTTTTTTTTTAATTATATGAATTAATCAAAATGTCAAATTCCCTTCCATAGGATTAGATGGTTTATCTATCTGACAAATTGGAGTTTTTTCTTCATTACATTCTCAACAATCGTACAGCTAGCGGCCTGTACTCGTAAACTCTTTCAGGCAAATGAACGGGTGGAAAGAGAGGAGAAAGCTGATACTGACAACCAAGTGACCGACGAAATCAATTCTACAAAAGGTTTTTAATACATGATTATTAAATATTCATATTAATCCTTCTCCTTCTCTTCTACTCCCCATCATTTAGAAAAAAGCTTGGGTTTCTTTTACAAATTTGTTTGGGTTGTTTACAACTTAAATACAAATGTACCGATGCTCACTGGAATTGCATTCTGGGTCCTGCTCTATTCGGGTAAGGGCGTTACCACTCTCTCTCTCTTCCGTTTTCGTATCTGTAAAAATTCCCTTACCTATTCCTATTTAGGTGGTTCCATTCTATATTTGGACTTTCTCACTCACGCCGTCACAATGATTTATTTAATGGTCGATTCTGCTTTAGTGGCAATTCCTATAAGGATTTTGCATATTTATCAGTCTATGATTCTGGGACTTATTTACGTAATATTCTCGATAATATACGACGCTTCCGGTGGATTAAATATGCTTGGGAAACCGTATATATACTCAACTATAGATTATTCAAAAGACCCAGGAAAGGCCGCCTTGTACGTCATTATTATATTATTTGTTGGTATTCCAGTAGTACATTTCATCTTTTACGGTTTCTATTCCCTGAGGATTTTCCTATTTCGAAAATTCTACCCTAAACAATTTCAGCAATCTCTATCCTTGCAATTTTCTTCTTCCAAGCATATTCAACATATTGAAATGGAAGAATCTTGAATTTTTTTGTTTGTTTGCCCTTCTATCTATCTATCTATCTATCTATCTATTCCTCCAGACAGACAACTATGATTGTCCTTAACGTTCCTTTATACATTCATATCAATGTTTTTTGTTTTTCTTTAACAAATAATAAACGACTTTTTAAGTAATAATAAAGATAAATTGAATTCTCTTCCTCTTCCGCTTCCTCCACCCGCAGCATCTTTAGAAATCAGATAAACTTATAAGTTACACGCAGGTTTTATCACGTGATAAATGGTTTGTAACCTCTCTGTTGCAGACTACGTATTCCTCTCCGCTAACCGCCCGCCTAGGCTATAAATAGGACTGATAGTACTAGAGACGGAATAAGTGAGTGACTGAGTAAGAAAGAGAAAAGGAAATAGAGCTAGAAAATTGTGGTATTTTCGTATAAATTTCGCCTTCAACTGCAATATTCTAGTCCTATAAATAACGATTTCTATCAAATCTCAAGATGACACAAGATATAGATTTTACTAAACCCTGGGAATATAGCGACATCAAGCTGAAAGTGGAAAATAAACTAGTTTATGCCAATAAACTAATTTTTTGTATGTGGTCACCGGTTTTTAGAGCCATGTTTTCTAAAAATTTCAAGGAAAAAGACGCCGAAGAAATCGAATTACCTGGCAAATTTTATGACGCAATACTGCAATTCTGCAAAGTTGTTCATCCACCCTGCTCAGAAATAAATGGTAGTGTATATATTAATATAAGTATATACTGTATATATAAATAGTATACGATATTTTGCGCTAAGTATACAGTATTAGTAAATATTGAAGGGCGTCTCTCTTGGCCTATTAAGTTGTTGGCTTATCAGAGATTATATATTATATTTATATACTGTATATACGGTATACTGTATATACGTATACTGTTTACTTTAGAGGAAAATGTTCATCTCCTACTGCCTCTCGTTCAAGAGTACCAAATGGATAATCTCATCGAAAGATGCGAACAATATTTACTCTCCGAATCGGCGTCTGTTCAAAATTATATCATTGGCGAAAAGTTCAACTTGAATAGATTAAAAGAATCTTGTTTAGGCTATATGAAACGTTGTCCAACTTCCCGCCTTCTTAAGGAAGGATTCAACGAATTGGACGAAGACTTTAAGGTTAATTTATTAATAGAAAAATGTGAAAAATACGAAAAGAATACGGAAAGTCTTCGCGAGATTCGTATGGTGATCGAAAGGAAAAAGCCAACGACCTTTCCAGGAATGGAAATTCTATGCGACGAATGTAAAAATCACAGAGAAAATCAAGTAGATTGTGGAATTTGCCTTAAAAACTGCTGTAAAAAATTAGCCGATATCTTAAAGATAATCGACAGATGAATAGGAAGCACGTGACAATGAATTCTTATGCTTTATACTATATAGTATTACTCCTCCCTCAGTCCCTCCCTCTTTCTAATCTCTTCGTCTTTCTGTTACACGCAAATATATTTGTTATTCCAGCAGTTGGCCTGCAAATGTTTCTGTAAGAGTCATAATCGCGTGACCTAATGTCTTTTTTACGAAATGCGCAATAATATTTTAAATACATGAGAGAATGTGGCTTATCGCTCTGGGAAGGCCTACGAATATCGAAATACGACAAAAACACAACAACGCCCCCATTAATCTTTTCGTATGTTTTTCTATTAAATCAAATGGAGGAGGAGAAACATACATAACGAACAAGCTGCAGGTCAGAGAGATGCAGATAGGATAAATTGAACGATAAGATACAGATATTCCATTCAAATAATTGAACTTGAATATTTTGAATTTCAAATCAATATACTGTATATATATATATCTCTCTCTCTCTCTGTTTTTTTCTTCTTTCTTGCTTGACAGCTGTTCAAAAAAATCTAACAAACAAACAAACTTGTTGATTTTCGTTCAAGAAGGAGACGAAACGTTAACTTTTACGATTTAATCGAGTTAAAACACTATGAATTTAACGACGGCAGCTGCAATCTGCAACAATACGGCGTCTTCGACGCCTTTATACGTTGGTTTTATCGGAGCAATCGTTGCTACTCTATTCTTTGGTAGTAATTTTGTTCCAGTTAAAAAATTCGAAACTGGAGATGGTATCTTTTTTCAATGGGTGCTTTGCGCTGCTATTTGGCACGTAGGACTTGTTGTTGGAGCTATAAGACATTTCCCAAAGTTCTATCCCCTCGCTATGCTGGGTGGAGCCCTATGGTGTACGGGAAACGTGACGACTGTTTTTATCATTAAAACTATAGGTCTAGCTCAAGGTTTTCTCATTTGGGGTTCGGCAAATCTTATCCTGGGATGGTTGAGCGGACGATTCGGATGGTTCGGTATTAAGAAAGAGATTCCAAACAATCCAGCTTTCAACTATGCTGGTGTAGGTTTAGCCTTGTTGGCGTAAGTATCTCAGTCAAAGCCTCCTTCTTCTATGCTACCGTATAGAGAGGAGGATTTCACCATGTTTTTCCAGGGCCGTCATCTATATCTTTATTAAGAGCGAAGCTAAGAGCAAAGTAAACACGACAGTTTCTCCTTTAGTAAGCGACGAGGTAATGATTTCGCTTTGTTTTCATTTATCGAGTTGCCTACTTTTCCCCGTTCTCTTCCCTTTCTCTCTATCTAGAACATACACACAAAGGGAGAGGGAGAGAAAAAACGCCAAGTATTATTTTTTACATACATCCTTTACCCTTCTACTCTTATTAGGAGCAAGAGAAACTAATAAGGCAGAGCGTTCGGGAGCACGACGAGGAAGGGTCGACGTCACCGTCGGATAGGAACGACGATACGTTTATCGAGAGAATGAATCCGAAAAGTCGAAGGATTCTGTTAGTTTACATTTTTCTATTGGGAATTCCACTTTGATAAATAATTTGTCTACATTTGAAAAAAAAACATATCCCTAAAGAGGAATAGCCGCCGCCATTTTTGCCGGTAGTCTTTACGGTCTCAACTTTACTCCTGTCATCTATATACAAGATAGATATCACGGAGCTTCCGACAACGGTTCTATTAATTATTATCTCCATCTTTAATTGTTCTTGTTTCTATTAGTTCTACTTACTGTTTTTAAGTTACTGTCATCCATCCTATCCATCTATCTAACTATCTTTCTCCGCCCCTCCTCCAGGATTGGACTACGTATTTGCTCATTTTAGCGGAATTTTCGCCACTAGCACATTATTTATGTTCGTCTACTGCGCAATTATGAAGAATAAGCCAAGAGTCTATGCCAAAGTATTATTACCTGGTTTTATCTCTGGTATAATGTGGGGTATAGCCGACGTTGGTTGGTTTATAGCGAATAAAGTTCTATCAGAACCAATTTCTTTTCCAATAATTACGACTGTAAGTGGACTAAAAGCCCAACTTGAAAATTACCTATAAATATTTTAATCCAATAAAAAATAATGTTACTCTTCCATCGTTCAGCTTCCTCCCTTTATTGGAGTTCTCTGGGGAGTTTTCGTCTTTAAAGAAATTAAGGTAAAAATAACAGCGTAAAACACAACTAACACCGACAAACTCTCCTAAACAGGGAAAACGCAACTACATTCTCCTATCAATCGCTGGTTTAATAACAATCGGAGGGGCAGTCCTTACCGGCCTTTCCAAAGGAACTACCAAAAAGGATTGCGTTCATAATACAACTACAGTTGCTACTACACCAATAATCACAACCCTACAAAATCTTATTGAAAACTTCTAACCTACAAGACTAGAAGAATGGAGAAAGGAAGAGAAAATGAGAGCAAAAGCAATGAAATTATATAAACATTATATAGAGTAGACTATATGAAATACCACAGTATCATAACTATCTAAACAATAGAAATATTGCACAATTAAAGACAAAAAAGAAACGCTATAAAAAATGATTCAACCAATTGACAAACTACATTTTGTTATTTCGCAATCATTTTTCTAGACCTATAACTCTGGTTTGTTCGATAATTTCTTTTCATGTAGCTAATTTATGCTAATGGGCCTATACACAGTATATACAAGCGTATATAGCTGCTGAATATACGTGATATTCAATATATTTATTCAGAAATGTGTTGTATATTAGAGGAGTGCGTTAAATTGTCTGAATTGAAACCCCCTCATCTATACCATCTTCTTTACTTTCCTCTTCTTTCTGTCACGGTAAAGTTTCCAATCATTTCTCTTTTCATTTTTATTTAATTCCTCTCTCAACTATCTTGATTGTCTGGTTCTATTATTAATTAACTCTTTTGTCATTTTTCTCCCCAATCCCTACTCTCTCTCTCTCTCTCTCTCTCCGTCTTCTTTATTATTCCACAAAGTTTCATTATCATTGAATTTTATTACTAACTGTCTTTCTCTCCTTTTAACTCTCTTGAATCAATAATCAATATTAGGCCTATTATTATTATTATTATTATTATTTTATTATTGTTATTATTTCCTATTATTACAACTATTGATAGCAGTCGTAAGAATTATCTAATATGAGAAAATTGAATTAAATGAATAATATTTAAAGAAAAAGAGTAGGAGAAAGAAAAGATTTAAGAAAGATGGATAATATAGATAGATAGATAGATAGATAGATAGATTGATTGATTGATTGATTGATTGATTGATTGATAGACCGCTTAAAAGAATTATCTATATTGAAAAATTGGTAGAAAATTTTTGCAATTTCTCTTTTTTGAAAGATCGTTAAATTGACAAAAAAAATGCTAAAATGAAAATCTTTTGGATGTATTCTCTGTCCTTTATTGATGGAAAAAATGTCGATAAATTCAATATTTGTGTAATTGAAAGATAACGTCTAACAGTTTTAATGGACATTGAGAGAAACAGAGGAAAACAAGAGATGTGAAAATTGACAATTGCAGTTTGTTATTATTTCAAACAGACATGTATTTACAAACATTTATGCATAGACTCGTATTAATTTTGAACAATACATTCAATACCACTGAATTTAAATGTTTATTTCTGATTTTTTAACCACGAAGAAGAAGGTTGACGTCTTTCACTCCATCTCGTAGAATTGGGAAGCAGGAGTAATAAGTTTACACGCGATTAGCAAATGCTTTATTTTCGTGCACAGAAATCCAACCGCAAGTGAAGTGGGAAAGAGAATCACCACCCATTGGATTATATACAACAAAATTGAATTTTTATACATAAACGGCGCGAGTGAGCCGCTTATAATTCGATATCCTAAACAAGCCCAAAACATGGCTGGAACAGGAACCGCCCAAAATATTCTAGCTAGTATATTTAATCTTTTACCAAAGGTATTCTCGTATTGTTCAGTCAAAGTCCGAATATTGTAAAAGACGATCATGTAAGAGTAAAAGAGAACCAGTAGTATTATATTAGCCGAACCTAAGCCAATATCAATACTAAGCGATATACCTTCTCCAACTCCGCCAATGAGCAAAGGTATGACGCACGAAAAGACTACAAGGCAAAATATGAATCTAATTAGTACACGTTTAGCAATCGATTTCGACCAAATTGCTGGTTGAAGGTCCATAATCGAAGCTATTAAACTTTCAAGACACGATATAATATTAACGAAGAATGATAGAAATATTGTAAAATAGAATAGGCATAACCATAAATAGGGTTGGTTTGTAAGCGTAAAACTGCTGTTCATAGGTAAAAAAAAAAGTTCGCTTCCGGAAGTGATTATTCTATCCATGGGAAGATTCTGTTCGTAGGCTAGAAAGGATAGTGTGGAAAATACCAACAAAACAGATAAGAGACTGGTAAATATTTTTGCTAATACTTTTAAATAAGCCACTTGAAAACAATTGATATTTCGTTTGCAAAACGAAGACATAACGATAGTGGTACAACCCATACAATCGTAACTACTCCATGCCGCCATAAAACCGTCAAACCAAAAGTGCACAGTGGCTAGACTACTCCAACTGGGCAAGTAAATCCACTTGAGAGCACCTTTAAAACCGGGCAGTGTACAGGTTCGCGTTAAAAGTACTGACATGAGGATTAACGGTATAGATGCAAGAAAATATGATATTTTTCCCAACCATTTAATACCTCTACTAATGGAAAAAAAGCACAGAACGAAACAGGTAGCAAGCGCAATCGACAATGGAATTGAAAATGAATCGTAACGAATAAAATCGTTCCGTTCTCCATCTCCTAATTCTTCTGCCAGTATGAAACCACGGTAGAATTCCAAACTGGGAGTGTTATCGGGTTCAGCACTGTAGGTATAATTGTATAGACGGTCGTAACGTATCCATTTCTCTTCAAATAATTTACACCTTGCTGTATTGTATACGTTGCTGCAGGTGGACCAGAAACTTCCATAGAATATCCCCGAGAACGAAACACCTAAATAGGCTAGAAACTGACTGGCAATGAAAATAGTCTCAACAGTACCTAAAAAACTCATGGTGAATATCGCGTATCCGAATCCTCTACCACTTAGATTATCTTTGAATATTGTTAGAATACCCGTTCCACCCATTTGTCCAAAAACTAGTTGGAAGTAACAAACCGGCAGTATCACAAGAAGCATGGTCACCAAATAGGGTATAAAAAAAAGGGAACCATACCTATAGATATAATAGGGTAAACGGAACATGGTTTGAAACCCGTTATCAAAACCTATATTCCATATGAAAAACTGTAGACCACTTTTCCAAAAGCCTCTTCCAATCTCCCCGTTCCTCTCTTTATTCATAGTGTCAACCTTTTAGTTGCTATTCTTCGATTCTTACCGTAATATTTTCTTTCTTTCTCTCTCTCTCTCTCTCTCTCTTTCGGAATTCTCTTTATATATCTGATTTCCTCCCGTTCCGCTATTTTTCTCTATAATTAGGTTATCGGAAAATTTCATGAAATTCTACATAATCATCATTAAAATATTTTAAAAATTACTCTAATTCTTCAATTATTCTATAAAATATTACATTCTGTTATAGTTGCTTTTTTTATTAGGTACGATCGAAAAATTTCAAGCTCTGTGTTTTTTTTGCAAGAAATCTTTGTGAAATTTTATTAATTTTTTTTTATGTTATAGCCTATAGTCTACTCTAAAAATATTAACAATCATATTTTCTAATATTCCTCTCCTTTCTCTATGCAAGCCCACCATTTGCTTGGAAGTAGGTTGATACTGTTCTGATAACAGGAGGATGGCTTTCTCCTTAGATAATCTTTGATAATTTTTTTCAATTCTCCTAAATTATCACGATGGACCCCTCTGATATCGTCCTTCAATCTCCCAAAAAGATAATAGTCAAAGGTGGCCAAATCAGGGCTGTATGGTGGGTGAGGGCATAATGACCCCCTTTTGGTCTCCTTTAAAGTCTGTTGTCTTGCATTATTGTGCTGTAAAATTATTTGTTTTCCAGGTCTGATTCTATGTAATCTCTTTCTGAGCCTCTTTAGGGTCTCAATATATATTGTATGGAGTTGAAAACTTCTCCATACTCGATAAATTCCATATGAACTAAGCCTTAATGGTCCCAGAACTCTGCTCTTTTCTGTTACAGATGTCTTTGGACAACCACACCTTGGCAAGTCTTCATAAATTTTTCTTCCCTTTTTTATGTCAGATACCCACCTTCTTATAGAACATTCACTCAGAGTTTCATCTCCAAAAAAGCTCTTTAACCTATATAAATTTTCCTTAGAGAGACCTTCTCATACATAAAAAATGCAATGATATTTCATTGAATGGAACGTGTGGACGTGACATGTGGTTGCTTACACGAAAATAAAATTGAAATGGCTAGACAGAATTGAATGAAAGTTTACACAGTGATAGTTTACTAATTCACTAAGATTATTCGAAAATATCAGTGGGATTAGTTAAGCTGTTTTAAAATTATAGCACAGAGCTTGAAATTTTTCGATCGTACCTAATATGTTTGTCTTCCTCTTTTCTTTCTCTCCCTTCCTCCCTCTCCCTCTTCCTCTCCTTCTCTCTGTCTCCCTCTATTTGTAACTCTAACCCTACTTTCTTTTTATTTATGTTGTTATGCATAGAAACAAGTTTCATAGATGTCGACACTTGACACTCGACTTGTTAGTTTGATTGTTTGTTTTCTTTATTTCTTCTTTATTCTCTTTTTCTCTTAATTTCATTTTCATCTTCTTTGACTGCCTTTTCTCGCTTTTTCATTACGCTCCTTTTTTTTCTCTTCATTCTCATCTCCATCCATCTCTTGGTTATATTCGCTTATTTGCTTACTTACCGACTCACTTTCCCCATCTGCGCTCTTTGAATAGTGGTCTTTCAATTGAAAAGCGTGTCTTATCCGTCCTTGGCCAATATAATTATTACAAAGTTCACAGGATAATAACCTACTTAAGAGTTTCCATATCGAGAATTTAATTAAAACATTACATAAAAGGTTTAATCGAACTGATAATATGAATTCATTTGTTGTGAAAAGGTTAGAGAGACTAGGATAAAACTGTAAACCCCGCAATTTTCAAGTCTATATTCAATTAACAAATGCAATAAATGATTTTATTTCTCATTCCTTTTACACCAAAGAACAAACAAACAAAAAACATTAAGAAAAATAATATCTAGAATACTTTGGCTTTTTTTTAATCATCTGATTAATACAAGTCTTTCTTTTTATCTCTTATTTAATCTTGTTGTACTAAACGTTTATTAAAAGATGTCACTAAATAGGATATCAATACCTTTTTATCTTTTGTTGTAACAGCGTTATTTAAGGTATAAAAGCAGATTTCTATTAATAAATACAGCTTTAATACGCTGTGAGCAAACCTGAACATACACTTTCAGCGTTTAAGAAGCATTCTTTTCAAGAGCATCAACAGTTTACTTTTTCTTCCTCTTCCCCCTTCCTTTTTCTACTCGTTTGAAAACTCGTTAAATAGAATCATCGCAACACCCACTACTGTTTGTTAAACAGCAAGATCAAAGAATCACATTTGCAGTCGTTACTATCGAATCGATTAAGATTAAATACGACTGCTAATATTTTCCCCTCAACCGAACCAGGATCGTTGAAGAGAAAAACTTTCAGGTAACACGTACTTTTCTCGCATTATAGTAAAGGTCGCGAAATAATCAAAAGGATTAAAGGTGGTCTGACTCTCTACAGTTGGAAAAAGAGAGCGTAAGATTATAAGGCAAATGTAATGCGTATAAATAGCATTATTATGAAAAGATCATAAAAGAGGATATATAAATATAGTAATGTAATCATTTATCTGTGTATAGTATCTAATAATAGGATATTTTACAAGAAGTTTAACAAAAAGTATTACGTGTGGTAAAGAAAGAAAGAGACAACGTTGGGGGGAGGAAGGTGCGGGGGGGAGGGTGCCGTGGGTTCAGGAGAGAGAGAGAGAAAGAAGGAGAAAATTAAAAAACATAGGATAGGAAATACAAATATAATAAAGGAATTAATTGTGCAATTCATTCTTAGTATAAAGAAATAGATAGGTTATGTATTATAAACGTCAAGTAAACATATATAAATATATGCAATATTACAATAATTTTTCTTGCCAAATCATTAAAGCAATAATCAAACAAGCAGCTGTTTGTTTATTTTTCTTTTCCGCTCCCCCCCCTCTCTCTCTCTCTCTCTCTCTCCCTCCTTCTCTCTTGTTTATATACATATTAACGATTGCACACAGTTCTTTATCTCTTTTACGAATAGAGAGAATAAAAAGTTACATATGAAATTTGTTATCCTTTCCTTAACTTCAACTTTAATAGATTACTCAATTAGTGAACAGCTTAAAAACGTATAAGAATAGAGATTATATTAAAAAGGGTTAGAAAAAATCAAGTGAATGAACAGAGTAGAATTCTATACGTTGATTTATCCCGTAATTAGTTCACTATTCTCCATTTGGACAATGAGAGAGAGAGAGAGAAAAAGAAACATTTAGAGAATTTAGCAAAGATTGACGAAAAAGACAAATAATGCATTGAATTCATTCGTTTTTCAACGATATGGATATCTAATTAAGTTTTTAAGGGTAAAATGTTACTGAAAGTTCAGCTATTTATAGCCGATCTTTTTACATTTTTTATCTGGCTCTCTTTGACTGGATGCCAGGCTAGCTAATTAATTATTTTTAATTAGTTTTTAGACGGTTTTTTTTTAATAGAATAAGGTTTTATCACTTTTTCTATCGTCACTTTTACTGTTCTTTATACTATTGGGAAGTGGACTACTAACACACCACTACTATCTACTATTTTCTGCCTTATCTTCCCATTCCGTCACCCAATCAAACGTAATTTAGTACCAGTACTCTCTTTCCTCTCACCTCACCTTCTCCGTCCTGCGGACAGTGACTTTCCTCTCTGACTCACTCTGCAAGATTTTCTTTTTTTACATAGAAATTACGTAACAAAACGTGCATAGCTAGCAACTATTTTGTTATATTTGTGATAAAGTAATTGCGACTATAGAAAAGCGCCAATAAACGCTCGAATATCGATCGTCACCAGGTAAACAAATATCGAATCGAAAAAGAGCTTCGCCGCATTCATGGCTTCGCTTTATAACCGGCTCGCTATTACAGACGCTGCCGACCGACCAACCACTATGCCTCCCCGACGACTTTCTCTCCAGAACGAACCTAAAGTTACCATTACTACCGTTGATCCCGATTCGGATTTTCACGAAGACGACGACGTCGAAGAAGAATATTCGAGGAAGATTCAAGGACAAGTTCAAAGAAACCTTTTAAAAGTTCCCGCCCTAAAAACGCATTCCAATAGACGACATTCAATAGCCGCCGGAGCCGGTGCCGCTACGAACGAAGCAAATAATCAGACGAAAGAGAGCCCAAGACGGTATTCTCTAGATTTGGCTCCCAGTAGCGTTTCCAGTATTATGGCCCGAACATCGGACGACTTCAAAAAAGTTCTTAAGGATATGAATTTCAAATTTGTATTAGAAGATATCGACGATAACGACGAAGAAGAGACAAAAAAGAAGACGAGAACGAAGAAGGTTGTTAGAAAAAGTAAAGAACCAAACTCTAGCCGAAAGCAAGTTCGGTGGTCAAGTTCTACTCATAAAAAGACGCTTATTAGATCAGATATTTAATTAGTGCAATATATTCGTATAAATACTATTGTTATTTCTATTTAAATACATTTAAATCTACTTTTTTCATATGCTATTTTATCATTCCATTCACCAGCCAGACTCTCCTTTCACCATTTTTCTCTTCTCTTCTCAATTCTCTCTGAACATTAATCATTTTTCCCCCTATACATTTTCTATAATTTAATGACAATTGCGTCATTAATCGAAACTGAAACAAGCGCTATACTGTTACACGCCGCTATTTCGAACTGTACTGACTATTGAATTTCTCTCTATTTGGTATATACACTTGGCAGATATATTACATTTAACAGTAATATTTTCCATTACTCTTCCCTCTCCGAAGAAACGAGGGAGGGAGGAAGGAAGAAAGTTACGGATAGACAGATAGATAGATAGATAGATAGACAGACATATATCTAAATAATAAATATGTACTGTGTATATCTAATATATATTCATAGGGGAAACGCAAACGCAGCGAGAATGCCTATAATCGGACAGCAGGACATGGAAACTTAATCAATCCTTGTATTTCACTTCTTTGCATTCTTTTCTTTCTTTCCCAGAGGTAACCCAAACAAAAATGAGCCTATAAACGATTAAAAGAATGACTGAATGAATACCTCTTAAAAAACCGATCGATAGGCCTAAAGTCTATTTGCGAATCTATAAATATTTCCAGGCGTACGCTTAGCTTCTATTAATAGTCTTTTAAAGTTGTTTTTAAAAATGAATGGAAGAAAAATAAAGGTTATAAAATGATATAGGTTCCAATCGGTTCCTTCCTCTTTCTACTCTCTCTCTCTCTCTCTCTCTCTCTCTCTCTCTCTCTTCTCTCTCTCTCTCTCTCTCTCTGTCCAAACAATCTAATTGGAAAGTTTGAAAAGCAGCAATAGAAAAAAAAGGATCTAAATTAGATTGATTAATAGGAAAAAGAGTCGTGATTTTTATTAAATTTGCCTATATTACATTTTTTTTCTTTTCGGTTAATCCCTCGATGTATAAATAGATTTTTATAAAAATAAAGACACGTGATTAGAAGGAAAATACGAATAAACAAGTTGCGTGATACAAAACGTTCAGTGAAATTACCCGACAGAAAAAACCGGAAAAGAGGAAGGACGGAGAAAGAAAGAAGGAATGAACGAATGAAAGAAAAAGAGAAAAGTATATTCAAGATTGAAGAATGAATGATATATGCTTAAAAGTGACTGAATTTTTCATTTAATTCTTTATGAAACGACTGTAAAAGATATTTGCTGATTTTCTACCGTTATTCAACACGCATTGAACGGCCAACGGCCAACGGCCAGCAGCCAACAGCTTGTCTTAAATGTATAATCTCTTTTTTTGTATCGTAAATAATTGTAGACTTATTTTCTGTTGTTGGCGTTTTACGATCAATTGTATTTATAGCCTCAAAGTATCTGCTGAACGCACTTTACACTTGTCTTTCATACCAATTCAATTGCACTCAAGTATATACTATATATCTAATATATTTATATATACATTCATACACTCGGACGTAGACGTTCAAACATTTCAGCTGAAAAGCTGAAACTGCACACTGACAAACAAAAAAACCGTATTTATCTCATTCATCTTCGTATTATTCATATTCTCATCGAATTTCAGCAATTACCACTGTTTTTAGACGCTTTTATTTACATCTTTTCCTTCTCACTCCCACTCCTTCTCCCCTCCCCTTCCTCTTCTTTCCCTTTTTATTACGATCTCATTTCTTCTCCGTTTCCCCTCTAATTAATCGTACAACTCTGTTTCTTTCTTTCATCTGGGCCAAACAGTATAACAAAGTGAAGAAAGAATCTGGTCACCGCCTAAAAGCAAGTGTTTTAATAAGGAAATTGTACAAAGCCCACCAGAGAATTAATCACAACTTATTAATTATGACGAGAAAAACTAGCAAAACTTTTTACAACCAAATATAATAAAAGAAGCAGAAAAAAGGAGAGAAAGAAAATCCCTTCTTAATCTTAAATTACGTATAAAATTTTAATACGTAGCCATTCAACTGTTCTTTACTTTTCTCCTACTTTCTTTTTCTCTCTCTCTCTCTCTCTCTCTCTCTCTCTCTCTCTCTCTCTTTCTCTCCCTTCCTCTCTCCCTCTCTCACTTCTATAATTCGTCATCCAATTAAGTATACTTTTTTCTCCTTATTCATCATTATTCAAGTACTTTTTTTGCTTGTGGACTACTTATTCTTATCTTTATCTCTATTAAATCTAAAAGTCCTCTAGTTTTTCTTTTCATTTGCTCCTCTTTGCTGTTTCTTTGAAAGTAATCTTTGAATAGAAGAAAATCTTTGATAAATGTTTATTTTTAGCCTCTTCTCTTATCGGTACACTTTCAATTTTCTTCTTTCGCTCTTTCGATAATCTGTTTATAATATTGTACCTATGAAATATTTACTATCTCTTTGTATCTTGTATCATGTCCACTATCTACTCCAACTGTTCTATTTTAATAGTATTTCAAGTAGATATTTCTTTTTATACTCTAAAACACGCCTCCGCACGCACGCGCACACACACACACACACACACACACACACACACCGTCCACTTGTTCATTACCATTTCTGCTCGATAGATGGCGTACACGGTTGTATAAATTCTTTTTCAAAGAAAACTCTTCTATATTCTCAATTAACAAACCAAGGATTGATTTAATTGAATATTAAAGAGGCACAGGGGCGAACTGAGAGGAGAAAGCGAAAAAAAGTGGAAAGATAAAGGAATCCTCTTGAAAAGTGGTAAACGGCCTAGAGAAGAGTGCTTGACCCTAAGCACACTATCCGAATCATCTTTTTCCTCTCTTAGGCTATAAAAAAGAACAATAACGCTAAAATGACCTAGAACACATATAAAGAAAGCATTATTTTGTTATATACTTTTGCTAGAGATTTGTAATGATTGAATGAATAAAAGACTTGAACGTGATTAATTAGGGTTTATGAATTTTTTACAAGCAAACCTGATCGAAAGTCGGTTCAAAAGTGATTTAATTATCAAAGTTGACAGGCAATTGTGTCTTTTATTCTCGTTGAAACAGATTAGTTTATCAGAGAGAACGAAGTAGAGCGTCGTTTAAATTTTCAATCTCTCACTACTGCCAATGATAATTCCATTGGTATTTGTTATAATCCTCAATAATTCTTTCCTCTTCTTCGTACGATTATCTTCGCAGCAATCTCATAGATCAAATATCTCAAATTCAAAGTTCGTCCTCTCCTTTACTAATCTGGATTTTCTAATGGACGGCCGACCAGATTCTTCGAATAGTTTGTTTTGGTTTTGGAAACCAAGTACTTCGCAATTAACTAAATCCTGGCTAGAATTCAGCTGGAATTTCTTGACGAAAATTACTTGCGTCAGTCTATTTTAGCGTCGATGAAAGTTACACTAAAATTCTCCATTCTATTCCCAAATGGATATCTGCAAACTTTCACAGATAATTATCACTTTTTTACTTGGAGACGTCTAAATTTCACGTTAAATATCGTCTCTAAAAGAATTCTCATTCAAATCCTATTCAACTACATCGAAGAGATTTTGCAGGAGAAGGAAAAGTTACCATCTACGATAATGTCTATCTATAAACGGTAGTCAGATAATCCTCACTCACAGCGGCAATAAAGAAAAAGCCCATTCCTAGTATTGCAGCAATAAGGATCAACTTTCTGCTCTCACCGGCTGCCAGTACAGTCGAAAACCATTGAAGGAGTAGGAACCACATGAACGGTGTATGGAAGCCGGTTATCAATCTAGGCGAATGGCAAGCTAATGTCAGAGATATAGGCCAATGTTAATCCATTGAATTCGATAGACTATCTATACATTTACCAGAATGAAACTAAACAGTCTAAAAGAACGAAGAAAATACAAGAATTTCAACTATATTGTCTGAATACGGAATAAGCGTGGGCTAGACATTTCGAAATGCTTTCAAAACCTTTCAATTCAACTAATTGAATTCAAACCAATTTTGTCAATTTCGCAAGATATGAGATTTTATAACGCAATAGGCTTTTTAACTGTATTGGTAAATTATAATTTAGAGTTTGAACAAATTTTTGTTCAATTGTTGCTACTGTCTTCTTTCTCCTTTCTTCTTTTAGCTCTATTTATTTAATAATGATTCCTCTTTTCAATCAAATTTGAATTGACAATTGTTGGATTTAATTCGCAAGCCATCCAAAAATCGTACGAACTCTCCTTTGCCTCCTTTGGATCTCCTTCTCCGGCCATCCATCTATGAGGTTGGTATATTACGCTGCCGTCAGGTCGACGTTTTGGGTCTCCATTCCCATCGATTTCCCATAGGGGACCGTGTTCATAACCACTGGGAACTCTTATATATAAAAACTCATTCTTTTTCATATCCTTGAATGGCTTGTGAATATCGCCGATATGCTTGTACATTCCACCGGAACCAGTGCCGTTCAAGAAGCAAGCGTGAATTTCACAAAAGGCGTCATTTCCTTTAGTTTCCGAATGGTCATGAATTCCGCAATCAACTCCCTTATCGGCCAACCAAAATTGAATATGGCATATTTTTTTCAGCTCAATCGTGCCGGTCTTCTTATTCTCTCTCTCGATTTGAACCGTAAAGCCAGTCATATTGAAAAATCCCATATCTCTGTAAGGTTTAAAGCCAAATGGTACGACTTTTTCGTCCACTAAATTCGCTTTTACTTCCACCGACTCGACGCTCCTTATGAATGGTACATCGCCGTCTAAATACTCCAAATCGGGTATCATCCACAGGAAAGTTGAATCCTCATCCTCAGTCCAAATTTCCAAATCTTCACTGGAAAGCTTCATCGATCGCGTACCGTCAGGATTGATTACGTTCCTTACCATGGTGGTAGGCGCATTATTCGAAGTTTTATAGTATATAGCTCCGTCCAATACCTTCGCCATCAATCCTTTGGGTATCTTTACCGAACTATTAGGAGGTAAATAAGCCAAGGAGATGGTGTGCTTGTGGATTTTTATCAGTTGCTTCTTTAGAAAGTAACTCTGTTGAATTGCCGAAGGTCTTTGATAAGGAATAGTTGCGACTACTTCCGTTTTAAGGGAAGATTTATCTTCCTTTTCGTCAGATTTTTCTTTGGTTTTCTTCTCCATCATTTCCAATACGATTTCATAAGTCGTTTTCACGTCTGAACAATCGAACGAATTGTAATAGACATTCAATTCGCAAGGTTTCGCCTCGTAATAGGTTTTCACCGAATAGCCAATTGTTGCAAAGTCCAATCTACCATTCTTATTGAAGTCGGCAACTGCAATTCGAGCGGCTGAATCTTTTGATACTTGATACTTTGTAAATTGACCTTTGCTCAAATCAAATGGTTTGTAATAAAAGACTCCTTGAGTTGGAGGATCGCCTCGAAGAGCTACGAGAAATTCGTCATCTCCATCGTTGTCGAAATCCTTGGCAATAATATAATGTCCCGGACCTTCACCTTTGTCGTTTGGCTCTCCGTAAACGTCCAATACGTAACGCGTGAATTTGGAGTGCTCCAAGTCGCCGATTGAAACAGCATTATCTCGAACATAGACGGCAACAACATTTCCGTGGAATGGTCCAATCGTTGCCAAATATGCGAATGGATCGTCTCCTACTCTACCCGAAGTGATGTTTCCGCATCCATACCAGCCGGTCGTAGTCTTTTCGCACAACGTTCCTTTGGCCAGATTCTTTTTCACGAATTTCTTCTGTTCGGTCGAATAGTACAAGTAGGTGATACCCTCTTGCGAAGCCAATAGGACTGAATCTAATTGGTCACCGTAGTAGTCTTTGCGGTATTTCTTCTTTTCAACGCCGTGAATAACGTGAAAGTACTCGTTGTCAACAATCGTCTCTTGCCATTCTTTTACCTTATCGAGTTGGTTGAGCGGTGGAGAAGTAAACAGTTTCACTTCGCACACCGAATGAACGTCGTGGGCTTTTCCGACAACCGGAAGAATAAGAACTTCTATTCTCTCCGTTTGGGTAAAATGTCCAACGACTAGTCTATGCGTTCCAGTTGATCTTCCGATATAGTGCTTTTTCCATTCTTTATCCATTGATAAATTATCCTTGCCGGGATTCTCCAACCAATGAACAAGACCACCTTTCTCGTTTATGTTGTCCATATTTGGTCCGTATTCCGACGTAATAATAATGTCCTGAAGGCCATTTTGATTAATATCGAAACTATCCATTCCAACTGGCTGATTTAGCTTCGTAATCAGGTGACTTGTCCATTTTTCTGGCTTTCCGTTAGTGGAACCGTTTAGGGCACCTTTCTTATGATCTCCATTAACACCATTCGTACTCTTTTCGGTCAACGCCGTTTTTGTTGTTGTTATTGTTGGTATTTCCGTTGACAATGGTACATCGACTTTGTTGGCGTTTGGATTTTCAAACCATCTAATGTCGCCAACATTCAAACCATAACCAATAATATCTTGGTAGCCGTTAGCATTTATGTCCGACGAACTAATCCAATAGCCATCCTGTCGGTTTCCTTCCAAATTTAACTTTTGAAAATCGGGAGAACCGGACAACTCGTAGGTGAAATCAACTTCGGCATGCTTATAGGATAGCATATTCGTTTTAAGCATATGATTTACAGTACGAATTGCCAAAGCGGCCGTTGTTAACGTTTGATTGCAGGCGGCCGCCTTTGGTAATACTCCCAATCCTCCGACAAAGCAATTGTCGATATTCCATACTTTGCAATTAACATCGACTACCGAATCTTTTTCGTTCTTTCCCATTCTAGTTACACCGTTTACGTGGGCGGATAGGCCAGAAGTCATAAACTGCGGACTCGAGCCGGGAAGGAACGAACCCATCGACGTAGCCGCCTTCAACATATCTTTCATCATTGAACTTAACGTTATTCTATCGGACGAATCGATCGTATAGTGAAAGGTTGGCTGCGGCATTCCTAGAAAGTCTTTGTACTCTTCGCTGAACGTAACCATATTAGACTCCGATTGTTTAACTATACCGAACCATCTAAAGTCAACAATTAGACGAGGATCGACGTTGGGAGCAACGTCCCCGTAGGAGAAGGCATCACGATGAATTTGACAATGCCAAGGTCTATCTTCGGAGACGGGAATATAACATTGCGGATCGGGATCGTTCATAGGAATGGGAATAGGATCGTTGGGATTCTTTTTTTGATACTCTTTAATAGTTGCGGCGAATTCGCTATTGGGCTTAGTTAGCCTATCGATAGTATCTTGATTGAGAACAATTTGACAAAAGGCCATCGGCTGTTCGGTAAGATATTTACCAAGTTTTTGAGGGCGAATATCAGAAGCGTATAGTAATTGGGCGCTTAGCACAGTACCACAGCAAACAACAACAATTTTCGCCTTTATCTTAATGAATCTTTTATGAAGTAAGTTCTCAACGAGTGCATACTCAATATGATTTCCCTCCTTGTTACGAAACAATTTCCTACAGATATGCTGCTCCATAATACGAAAGCGATTCTTTTCCATACTACAGGCCAACGACGGATTCGAAGCTCTATAAATAACGCTCGGATCTTGGGCGTGTTTGCCGAGAATTGTAGCGGAGGAGGACCATTCAACAAATTCGCTGTTGCGTATACGACGTCTCGCCGCCAAAGGAAGACTTTTCGGCTTGTTTTTTTCTAGAGGAATTTCATCGGCGTAAGTCTCTCTTAGGATCTGCTTGACCAAATTATGACGGATCGAATGATCGAAAACATCGCTCGAAACGTTAAACAACTTTTCGGCTTCGTCATACAATGTTTCCCATTCTTCGTAAGGAATGATATCGGGCAATTCAACCGACTCATTCATTCGAGGACAGGCGGCAGTCCAATGAGTGCTCATACCACCCACCATATAAGTCGCGCCGGCAGCCGCCATATTATCATCATCCTTTTGATCCGGATTCTGATTTTTTAGCTGATAAGTACCAAGCTTATTCGACGGAACTCGAAACGCTCCGGGACCAAGTGTAGGAGTAGGAGCCTTATTGACCGGAGTTGACAGATTATGCCAATGAGCGCGAATGACACTCGCAAACGGGTCGACATCCTTTTGAAAGACCGACGTATTTTTCAAATGTTCACCAGGCACCACGGAACCAAAAGCCCCAATGTCAATCATTAACACTTTGGCGTCCGATTCATCCAGTATTTTACGAGCATACGTAGCACCGATAGGTCCACTTCCAATAATCAACACATCAGTTTCCAGACTGCCAATGGGATCGGTACTGACGTTAATAAGAGGTTCATAATCTTTAATCTTGACCATCTTTCCTAAGCGAAATCTAGATGCAGAAGAAAACAATTAACAATCCTATTGTATAATAAAAGTCAAACGTTCCTTATTACCTTTTCACACGAGAAATATAACTATGATATTTATCTACAATTTAGATCGTATTAGGTCTTTTGTTTCTTAGCAGTCCACCTTCGTAGCAGAGCAACAGCAGCAGCAGCAGCAGCAGCAGAAGCAGAAGCAGAAGCAGAAGCAGAAGAAACGGTAGAAACTAAGACAGCAACAAAGCCATTTGAAAATTTTCCACTATTTATAGGCGAAACGAAATGATTTTTTATGTCAATTTTTTTCAATTTTCGTCGAAGACTTACAGTTTTATCCGTCTTGCTTACAGTCCTAAAAGTTGTTGTTGTTGTTGTTGTTGTTGCTGCTGCTGTTGTCATTGCTATTTCTTCTATTGATCTAATTACACGTTATACTTTATCAAGAAAGCAGAACAATTAATCCTATAAATTTGACTGTCTTTATTTTTTGTCGTCTTGTAGGATCTACTCAAAAACAGATGACATATAAAACGGAGGCGGGGCGGAACAACAACACTGAGATTTAGGACAATGAGTTTAACGATTAATTCGTTCAGTATTTCTATTGGAAACTCCGTATCACTCTTATCATCTTTTGATACTATTCAATAAACAGACAGTATATCGACACTATCAAATGGCCAATATTCCTCGTCAACTGCAAAAATATCGAGATGTCATCGAGAAATCTAAACTAGAATACGTTAAAGTTATAATTTGCGATGAAAAGGTCAAAGTTGATATTGATGACAGTAAATTGGGTGGATATCCTTGCCTTCCAAAGAATATTGAATATCCTTACGATTCAAAAGGGAATCCCCTTATTCTCCAAGCCCAATTAAACTTTAACGAAATACCGACTCTGAACTCGTATCCGAAGACTGGCCTACTTCAATTCTACTTGGCTTTGGACGACGTCTACGGAATGAATTTCGATAATCCAACGGATCAGAAAGATTTTCGGCTTATCTACGTGAAAGAATACGATAAGAACAATAGGCAAACAGATTTTTCGTTTGTCGACAATCACTTGAAAAGTTCGTCGTGCACTCTGCCAGTCATAAAACAATTCCGTCTAACCTTCGAGAAAGATTACGACTACGTTAGCATGCAAGATTGCAGATTCGAAAAGTTCTTTGGTATGGAATATGACGAATTTATCGATAAATTCCCCTCTAAACACGAAGAGGTAGTTGAAGAGTTCTTCAATAGAAGAGGTCATAAAATAGGTGGATACGCTAATTTCATACAAAACGATCCAAGGTCTAACTCCTCTTATAAAGATTATATTCAAATCTTACAACTCGATTCGGAGGACGACAAAATCTGTTGGGGAGACGTCGGCGTCGGAAATTTCTTCACCACGGAAGAGAAATTAGTTAAACTCGATTTTTCCTCCTCGGTACTTTACAATTACGACTGCTAACGGAAGGGATAATAAAAAAGACGCTCTGTCTAAGTTTCTAATAAGATCGTTTATGATTATTGTCTGCGCTCTTTTCTTATTCCCCTCACCCGCCACGTAATCAATTCAGGTTATTCTCTACCGTTCAACGTCAACCTCACTGACCCTGTTTGTTTACGATCAAAGGAATTTAAAAATATTTTGCAACTACGTTTTAAAATTTCTTTTCTTTCTTATATTCTCCAAAACGAAGCTATATAACTTTATATCTATTTTATGTCTTCTCTTGCTTCTATCTTCCTTATGTTCTTCCTCTTTCGCTTTTCTCGTTTGTCTTCCCTCTCTTCAAATAGGGATCGTTTGAAAAAGATCGGATTGAGGAAGAAGAATAAATGTATCATTCTTACGACTCGATCTCCTCTCTTTACTGTCCTTACACTTGTTCAACTTTCTATCTATCGGCAACAAAAGCCTAGCTGAAGCGTAGGCGTAAATTTGCTATTCATGTCTAAAGCTTCCCGACGCAATTCCACGTATTCTCTGTAAACGAAAGTAAGGAGTTAATAAATAAAAATGTAATTTCAGCTTTCGGTAACAACGAACGACTGCTGAGATGGAATTTGTAAATAGGTGAAAATAGAATATTTGAAATAAACTAATCGGTTAATTAATCAACTTTTAGGCACCCAGCAGGTTCAAGCGTAACTTTACTTTTATTGCCTCTCTTTATGCCCTAACCCTCTCTCCGTTACGGTAACAGGTTGAATAGAAATTATATCTCTACTCTTTTAGGAAATCTCATTCATTAAACGTTTCGAGTTGGAAATTTCTATTCATTTCATTTAGCTATTAATAAGCTATTTGCATTTGAATCGAGACTTGTTTATATGATATAAACACCCTTCTCTATTAAAGAAACGCCTACAACTAATTCTTAATCCTTTTTACACTTTTTTCAAGCATTATTTCATTTATTGATTCTAGCTCGAAGACTTTTTATTGTCTTTCGAAAACTGTTATATACTAATCTCTATATATATCTATTTACGAAGTACCTGAATTAATTACGCAACCTTTTGGCAGAGAGTTATGATAAACTTAAAAATAGTTCTATTTTCGGGTTTAGTTGTTTCTTTCTCTTTTTTTTTTTTAAAAAAAAAAGCAAACACTGACTTAAGGAAGAAAATATAGATAACAACTATCTTCTGTCTCTTAAGACTGCTATTTTCATCAATATGACCTATCAAAATTTCTAAAAAGTTAATCCACATTCAACAGAATCGATATGGAATTCGTAGAAAGCAAACTAGTAGGCGTTCTTTTATGTGCAATTGCTTTAGCGTGAATCTAATTATAGACCAAAAATAATGCTATTATAACTTCTTAGTTTGAAAAATCAAGCAAATTAAGTGCTTTCGCTTCAAACTACATTCAAGTTTTTAGTTTACTTTGAGCATTTGCTTTAAGTAATTAATCATTGGTTAAATTCTTCCATCTTTCCTCCTTCCTTTCGTAAGTAATCGTATTTCCGCAAAACGTTGCGTTATACTTAAATAGTGCTATTAGCCAGTGCTAAACCACTTTTTTGCTTATTCATGAACTTGTAATATATTCTAGATATTAAAAATAAAATATTTATTTTCACATTATCATTCAAATGGATTGGTGTTTGATGAATTATAATATTATAAATATCCTTGACAACCAAGACAATCAGAAAATGTCTATAAAAATAAGTTCAGACATTTATGCACTTCATATCGGCACCAACTCTTGACGCCCATTGAAAAATGCTGATGCTATCTTTGATCATCTCCTCTCTTCTACTGTTCGGTAGACTATCGTCAGGTAGATTCTACTAATTTTTAATAACTTTTCGAAACATCTTTTTGCAGTTGGTCTTCAAGCGGCTCGAATTACAACAACCGAAATCTACAATTGCCAAAATGGACAAACGGTAACAGCTAAAACTTTCTGCTCTTTTTGCCAAGTTGGAAAGGCTTTAAACGAAGATAAGACAATCTGTACAGGTAGGAAACATACAATCTTGCTGCGAAAATTACTAATTTAAATTGAATCTCGACCACATTATTTTTTAATTCATTGTTAAGCTTACAACTTTCAATAGAAAACAAAGCTATAACATTTTCAAACATCTATAAGCTATAATTATTAATAACCTTTATCCAATTTCCCCTTAAGAATGTCCGACCGCCTGCAAAACTTGTACAAATTCCACTCAATGCAATCAGTGCTTTGATAATTACACCTTCAATAACGTTTCCAAACAATGCATCGCCTGTTCTTCATCATGCTCAAAATGCACCTGGAATAATCAGCAATCTCGAACAGTTTGCGATATTTGCAAAAATGAATATACTTTGGATACGACGAACAATTGCAAATGTAAGTATTTCTTTCAACATCATCTAGAAAAGCTACATCAAAGAAACAGATTATTTACCTATTTCTTTTTACATAGCATGTGGACAGAATTGTAAATCTTGCTCCTACTCCGTGGAAAATGGTATCACTTGCAATCAGTGCCATTCCAATGCCTATAGAGAAATATCAACAGCATCTATTAAATGTAACTTGTGTTCTTCTGCAATATCTGGTTGTCTCACTTGTTCTGATGGAAAAACCTGCACAAAATGCTTATCGAATCAATATCTTTTAATTGACCAAAAGGAATGTTTACCATGTAGCAGTGTCCATCCAATGTGTATAGATTGTAGCAGAAATTCTGGAACAACTGTATGCATTAAATGCCAAAATGGATATTTTGTAGATGGCGTAACTTGTTCGCCCTGTCCTCTCAACTGCAATTCGTGTTCTCAACAAAATGGTGTTATTACCTGCAAAAAATGCAAAGCTGACTACACTCTTTTGAATCAAAGGGTGTGCAACTCGTGTCCAAGGAACTGTCTCAAATGTCATCATTCCAATGGTGACCTTGTGTGTTCAACAAATGGTTGCGAGTCTGGTTATGCTTTAAATTCGGATAATTTATGTAGTAGATGTCCTTCAAATTGTCTACTTTGTACATACAATCCATCAACTTCACAAACTGAATGCAATGGCAATGGCGCCAGTCATTCTTGTATTGAAAATCAACAAGGACAATCATGGACAAAAAAGAATGATGGAACTTGTTCAGGTGACAATCATAATTGAATATTTTATTGTTTTTATTATCTAAAATTGTCTTCAAATGCGTACAGAATGTCCATTGAATTGTCTAAAATGCTACTTTAAAGACAATCAAGCATCAACCCCTATGTGTTATCCTTCAAAATGTGCTGACAATTATGGATATGACGATACAAGTGGAAATTGTTTTCCATGTCCTGATGGCTGCAGATTATGTAAAAAAAGATCTGGTGAAAACATATGTTTAAAGTGTCTTGATGGCTATGGAGAAAGTTTAAATCCAAATGGGCAAATTGAAAGTTGTATATCTTGTAGCTCATTGGACAATTGTGAAAAATGTATAATGATTGATAATGGCTTGAAATGTTTGGATTCTCAGTGTGTAAATGGTAAAAAATTTACTCTTCCAAACAAAGATTGTTCAGAGGATTTACCTACTCCAACATCAACTCCAAGTTCTACACCTTCAACAACTACAGAAGGAGCAACTTCTTCTCCAGTCACACATCCTAACAGCGTAACACTTACATCACAATCAACTCCAGAATCTGTAACTACTTCTAAAGCTGCATCGGCTGTATCAACTGTCTCAACCATAACAAGTGAATCAACTCCATCAGATGCATCAACTGCTTCAGATGAATCAACTGCGTTAAATGAATCTACTGAAAATATTGCATCAACAACGTCAACAGAATCTACAGAAAATATTGCATCAACAGCATCAACTGAAACAACTCTACCACCATTTGAAACAACATTTCCTATCATTCATTTCGATAAAAAGAGATCTGTACAAAAAAGGAGTTTACCAACTCAAACATGCACTACAGCAAACTTTCAAAACTGTAAATCTGACAGTTTAAATGTAAATGCAGATCAATCATGTGGCTGCAGCAGATGTGTAGATAATTTTATTTTATCCAATGATCAAAGTCAATGTCTTGACTGTAATTCATTCACTTCTGGGTGCAAAGTATGCACTGAAAGTAATTCCTCACCCAATTCTATTCAATCTTGCTCAAAATGTCAAGATAACTATGGTTTGATTTCAACTGGAACTGGAACTTGTACTCCATGTGAAGCAAATTGTTTAGAATGTACTGTCAATTTAAGTGGCTCACCAACCACAACATGTACAAACTGTAATTCTGGTTATGTTCTTAATTCATCAAAGAAATGTATCAGATGTCCAACATCTCCACTTCCTTGTTCTGAATGTAGAATTGATCCAGTAAATGATGAAAGCTCTATTTGCTTACAATTTGGTTGTTCAAATGGAGGTTCTTTCAGTGATAAAGATTTCAGTTGCCAACAGTGTTCAATAAGCAATTGCAAATTATGTACTAAAGATACTTCTGATAATGATAAATGTCTATTATGCAATGATAGATACTTTTTAGATAGTGGTGGAAGCTGTGTTCCTTGTATATCAAACTGTAATATGTGTACAGATGCAACTAGTTGTTTGGGAGATGGCTGCAATGAAGGCTTTATCAAGCACAGAACAGATGGAACATGTACTTCATGTGGAGAAAGAGGAATAGCATTTTGTGAATATGAAAGCTTTACTTCTAATAATATTCTACCAAAGATTTGTAAACAAGGATTTTTCCTAAACACATCTCCAACACCAAATACATGTGAAGGTATCAATAATTTTTTATAAATGATAATTTTGAGAGAGATAATGACTATTTTGCTAATTTTTCAGAGTGTGATGAAAATTGCATGGAATGTTCAACAGCTGGACAACATAAATGTGATGTTGGAAAGTGCAAGGTTGGATTCTTCTATAATTCTGATGATCAGAAATGCTACAAAAATAAGGCTGGATGTGAAATCTCTATTCGATCTGGCACTCAAACAATATGCCAATCTTGTAATACAGCAAATAGTACCCTTTCAAATGGAAATTGTAAGTTGTGTCCAACTGGTTGCAATGGATGCAGTATTGATTCAACAAGCAATCAATTATCCTGTTCATCTTGTAAAAGTGGATATTACAAATCAAATAATAATTTATGTGTGCCTTGTCCAATTGGATGCAAAACTTGCTTATTAGATGGAGTAGAGCTCAAATGTACAAGTTGTCAAACATCTTTTGGTCTTAAAGGAGGATTGTGTGAATCTTGTGATACTTCTGAATGTGAAAGTTGTCTATTTGATGACAATTCTATGATTTGTGAAAAGTGTGCTGACAAGTTTTATGTGAACAGCAACAATTGTGGAAAGTGTCCATTATACTGTAGTGAATGCTCATATAATAAGAGATATGAATGTTCAAAGTGTTATGATGGCTATGCAAAAACTTCAGATGGCCAATGTATAGTTTGTCCATCCAATTGTAAAAAATGTATTGCTAACTCTCAACGAAATTCAATCTGTACAGAATGCAATTCAAACAGATACTCTCTTCAAAGTGATGGAATTTGTAGGCTTTGCTCTGATGTTACCTTTGGAAACTGTGAAACCTGCACTTCTGAATCAAGTGCAAAGAATGCAAAATGTTTGACGTGTGGTGTAGGCTTTGCTCTGAAAGATGATGAATCAGAGTGTATTTCCTGTCCTATTAATGGTTGTGGACTATGTGTTCATGGAAGAGAATGTTTAAAATGTAAAAGTGGATTCTATCCAATTAACCATAACAGAGAATGTGGGCGCAAATGTTATGAATGTGAAGGAAATGAAAGTGAATGTGGTAAAGCAATAAATGGAAATAATACTTTATCAGATAAAGTAAAGGAGGTTGAATGTGGTAATGGGGATTGTTGGGCATTTAGAATTGAATCAAAAGATGGTATATTGTACTCAAGGAAATGCTCAAACAGAACATGTGTTGAAATATCTGAAAATGAGAAATGTGATAAGATTGATGGTTTTAATCATTGTGAAAAGTGCTGTTATGGTGAAAATTGTAACACTTGGCATTTAGATGGAAAAGCTGGTACTGGACGTATTCTGTTTTCATTTGCTTGTTTTGGTTTATCTATAATCTACTATATTCTTTTTTAAATTGATAAACGACAGTAACTTGATAACTTGATAATGTAATCAAAAATATATTGTCAGTTTTAGAAGATTTTGAATTATTTTGGTTTGTTTCCAACACCTTCTATTAATATTATAGTTTTAATTTTCTTCAGTTGCTTCAAAGATGTTGGCATATTTTCACCATTTTATATGAAATTCCTTTTGTTTTAATTCTGTTATTTGTGAAACTTGCTTTACAAAAACAGTTTTTTTAAGCAAAAAACAATGATTTTTTGTCAATTTACAAAATGAAGACATTAAGTATGGATGATGTGTGATCTGTGAAGTTCTTGTCATCTCATATCGCTCACTGCTTATTAAGAAACTATTGTGCACATATTAAAATGATAAATCCTTTTGAAGCATTCTTTCTTGTCTTCACCTTTCTTTTGTTGGCATTATAAAAAGAAGTTGAACATTTTATACTATGAAACGATCTGACTTGTAATCAGTGACATGGAGATTGCAAATTAATTAATCTAGAATATGAATGAAATTTTTCAATAGAAAGATAATATCACATACATTTTCATTATTCAAGTCAATGTGATTTATGCCTATATTGCAGCGTCAACTGCTTGAAGCAGAATATAGAGACCTACATGAATATAATCAAATTTTTTCATTTGACAAACAAAATTTTTTGCCAAACAGATGATATTGTTTTATTTTAAAAAGGTTTTGTAAGATAACACCGCATTAAATTATTATTTATCATCCTTTGTTTAAAAAATCCTTTTCTTCCTTGATTACTTACAAAAATAGAAGCAATCACTTACATTCCATAAATAATATACTATTTTGAATCCTTTAAACATCAAACTTAAATTAGTCACAAAACGTCAAAAAAAGATCTTGTTTGAAGATTAATGAAGGGGCATTTATCTCGCAATTTACAGTATCCTTTTCATGAGAAATTAATATTGCCCAATTTATTGCAAGCCATTTTCTAACTATCTCTAACCCCTGAAAATAAAAGTTTAAATACATTTGTATAAGATCTAGTGATGCCCATTTGTCTATTATCTTTTCTTAATTGAACCAAAAATTTTTACTCTTAAAGTCTTCAGTAACAAAATGTCAGAATGATCTTTTAGATATATAAAAAATAGCCTGAAAGTTCTCTCTTTTGAATAGAATAAATTAGATAATCGCTTCAATCAGTTTCCAGAAGTTTAACTCTTATTCGCCATGTATTTGAGGATTTGTATAAATATAAGTAAAAATTGAAATATTTCCAACAGTCAGACTCATCTAGCAAACTGTTCTTTTTAGGTATTTTAGGTATTAGGAACTGAGGCCATATGGAAAGTCTCATTTAATAAATGTTTGAGGCTAGCATTAAATCTGTAAGCAATTTTGTAACAAATCTTTTACAGAGAGTTGTGAAAATTTAAATGAAACATGTAGAAACTATTGTAACATGGTGTATGTTTAGTCATTTGACATAGCAACAATATATTGGCACAGTGCCAGTATTTTCAGTACCCAATCTTATGCTGTTTTTCAAATTTAACCTTGCATTCTAAGACTTAAATCTTTAACCCCTATCGGAATTATTTAAAAGTACTGACCCATATTATTTATAGCTGTTTTAAATTAATCCTAGTTTTTATAGATATTATATATATTATTAAATATTTATAAATAGTAAATCAATTATATTTAGTCCTATTTGTTACATATTTGTTATGCCACTATATGTTGTTACATATACAGTAATCCGCTTAAATTTTGGAACACCCTAAATTTTGATAATAATGGTCAAAAATGTTTTTTCCCACGAAAATAGTTTTCTTTTGTCTAAATTTATATAGATAAAGAGTAATATTTATGTAATATTGAAAAAAATTGAGAAAATGATGATATTTGGGAAAATTATTAGCAAAATACTTTTTGTAATTTTCATCAATTTTTTCTGTATTTGGCCCTAACCATAACCCTTTTAATTATTGGAGCAGACGCTGGATATCCAGTTTGGCATTAAAAAAAACATTGTAAACTAAAATTTTTTAGACTTATTCAATTCTCCATGTTAAGTATATCTATTATTGTCAATTTTAATTATATTAGTTAATTTTTATTGTATTTATTTAACTATGACATGGAGTAAAGACATAAGGGATCTTGAACTAAGGAAATATATGGAAATAGGAAAATTAAGAGCAACAGCAAGAGTTTTGGGGATGGCACCTTCATCAGTTAGCAATATTCTGTGATACAATCCACCAGAACAGGAGCATAGGGTTTTTCACATTTAACCTTGCATTCTAAGACTTGAATCTTTAACCCATATCTGATTCGTTTGAAAGTATTGACCCATATTATTTATAGCTATTTTAAATTAATACTAGTTTTTATAGATATTTTATATATTATTATATACAGTATAGGCAAAAAGTCCCCAGCCACCTTGTAAAATTTTTTGTTTTGATATTAAGCTATACTGAATAGCTACTTTGAATTGGTAATAATAATGATTAATATGTATAAACTAATATCCTTTACGAAAAATTATCAAAAAATTGTTTTTCTTTTATAAAATCCTGTTTTAGTAATTACACCTCAAAAAAAGGGGTTAGTTAAAAATGAGTCACCATCTATTTAATCAAAAAAAAAGGGGGTTAAGCTGCATAAATCATATAGGAAAGTATTTTATTATAATTATATCTTTGGTTTTTCAAAAAAATAATGGTCATTGATAAACAAATTTGTTATTTGGTTGTTGAAAAATGCCAAGAAGGGCTATCATTGAACAAAATTGCCAAAATGTTTAAAATTTCTAGCTTCAGTGCCTAAAATATCTGGAAAATGTTTCAATTGCATCATACAATTGAAGATTTACCCAGATGTGGCAGACCAGTCAAATTAAGCAAGCAAGATGAGAGAATATTATGCCTTATATCAAGCAGAAATCCTTTCTGGGGAGCAAAAAAACTTTTGTCTGCCTCTAAACCAGCATCAGTTATATTCGTATCAACATGTAAGAATGTTTTAAGGAAACATAACTTGAGAGGCTATGTTGCAGCAAAAAAATCCCTATTAAAAAAAAAAACACTTGTCAAATAGGAGAAACTTTTGTAAAAGACTCCTCTCTTGGAGCACAGAGCAAATTAATTCAATTGTATTTTTGGATGAGACAAGGATAGATTTATATCCAAAACACTGGCAGTTTGTCAGAAGGCATCCAGCTAATAGATATAAGGCAAAATATGCAAAAAAAACTTTTAAAGAGGCAAATGGTTCTCTAAATAGTTGGGGTTTTATAAAAAGTGATGGCAGCAGAGGTATACATTTATATAAAAGCAATTTACATTTGGAGAAATATTAAGAAATTATTGATAAATCTTTTCTATAGAATTACAATAGGGACCATGTATTCATGCAGGATGGTGCTGCATGCTATACATCTAGGAGTACCTTACAATATCTAAATGAAAAGAACTTAAGGCACTAGCAAGACTGGCCAGCCCAGAGTCCTGACCGTAATCCTTTTGAAAATTTATGGTCATACCTAAAAGGAAGGGTTGGTAAACATCTGTGCACCCATGTTGATGATCTAGGAGGGTAACACAGCAAGAATTTGACAATATTCCAACTGAATATGTTGAAAAATTGTTTAACCCTGTTAGAAAGAGGCTGCAACTGTGTCATTTCAATAAGGTTGGCCATACTAAGTATTAATAAGGTTTAAAAGTATTATTACTATATTTTCATAAAATATTATAATAATTCATGTATACAAATTGTTAAGGAGTGTCCTAAGGTAGATTTAAAGTAAAATATTTAATTAAATAGATGGTGACTCATTTTTAGCTGGGATCAACAGAAAATGGCCCCAAGAAGGATATTTGAAGGCAGCATTTTAGGTTAAGAAATGGTTAGGAGGAAAAAAACATTTATTGATTTGTAGTTAAGGGGGTCCCATCTAAGGGTTAGGAGTAATAAAAAGGGTTATGGATACATTAGGGATGGTTTAGGGTTAGGGTAAAACCATGCTTTTGGGGCCGTTTTCTGTCGCATCCTTTTTAGCTCACCCCTTTTTTCAAGGTATAATTACTAAAACTGCATTTTATAAAAGAAAAACAATTTTTTGATAATTTTTTGTAAAGGATATTAGTTTATACATATTAATCATTATTATTACCGATTCAAAGTTGTTATTTTGTATATCTTAATATCAAAACTAAAAATTTTATAGGGTTGCTGGGGACTTTTTGCCTTTACTGTATTTATAAATAGTAAAGCAATTAAACTTAGTTGTAATTGTTAGATATTTCTTATGTCATTATATGTTGTTACATATATATACTGCATATAAGAAAATGAGTAGAGTGAAACAAGTATATTGTGCATATAATTAACGTTGTTATTTGAAATTAACTAACCCTGACACTAAACTTCACCTTACATGGGTTCTTTTCCCTCTCTTCAAGTTCCTCAGTTTTGTTCTTATAAATTTTGCTCTTTCTTGTATTATCTCTAATGACTTGTAGCCTGTTCTCAAACTCTAAGATTTTATGAACCACCATCCAGCTAGGGATTCGACAGAAAATGCCCCCAAATGCATGGTTTAACCTTAATGCTAACCTAGCCATTGTCTCTCTCTAACCTTTTTGATTACCCCTAACCTTTAGATGGAACCCCCCTAACTACAAATAAAAAGCTACTTTACTCCTGCTACACATTTTTCAATCCAAAATCTTGCTATCAAAAATCTCACTTGGGGACGTTTTCTGTCAGCCCCTCCAGCTAGGGGTTGACAAAAAATGTCAACAAATGAAAAATTTCAAGACTAGATTTTGGATTGAAAAATGGTTAGGAAGAAGACAGCAACTGATTTGTACTTAAGAGTGTCTCCTCTGAGGGTTAGGCGTAATGGAAAAGGTTAGGTACAGCTATAGGCTGGGTTAGAGTGAGGGTAGAAGCAGTGATGTTGCATCCATGGGTATGGTTTAGCCTTCTCCCGATTAATATTGACAAATTTTCATAATCCACCATCTGCTGTTCCATAGTTTCACCAATAAGATGATTAAAAATGTGATTTTACATCCTGGGCCGAAATGTCCTGACCCCGGTGTCATTGTACTTGACAGAGATCTCCAAACCATACCAAGTATTGAGCCATTCTTATTCCAATACAATAAAAAATTTAATCAACATAAAAAAATAATCTTTTTGGATGTCCTTGAAGAGTACTTAATTTGTGAATTAAATCTGTAGAAGAAAAAACAGTATAATTTTGTGAAATACTAAAAAAAATTGTATAATCTGGCTTAAACTATATAAATAGATGAATGAAGATAAAGTAAATAACCCTACTAATAATTTTATTCTCTTGAATCGTACATTAAAAATACCTTCATTGAATAGTAGAATTACTTACTTGAATATTATTCAATATCATTTCTTTTTGTCCGGTGCCTGTATGTCTGCTCTTTTCACTTTATCATTTTGTTAAGTGTTCCTTCTATTGAACTTTCAAATAAAAACAATTAATAGAGCTTGACTATCCAATAGTGAAAGCTAATTTGACTTTAAAAAAAATTCTTATTTCTATAAATCATTCATTCATGCTGAAAAGTTAAGCCTGTTGTTTTAAAATTTCAATAAAATACATTAGCTAAAAAAATTTCAAAAATATCTTCTGGTAAAAATCTGTGAGCTATAACTTGTAAATAGAATTTGTAAATAGGTGAAAAAACAATATTGAAATAAACTAATCGGTTAATTAATCAACCTTTAGGCACCCAACTGGTTCAATTGTAACTCTATTTTTATTGCTTCTTTTTATGCACTAACCCTCTCTCCCTTACAGTAACAACTTCAATAGAAATAATATCTCCGTATAACTTTATATCTATTTTATGTCTTCTCTTGCTTCTATCTTCCTTTTGTTCTTCCTCTTTCGCTTTTCTTGCTTGTCTTCCCTCTCTTCAAATAGGGATTGTTTGAAAAAGATCGGATTGAGGAAGAAGAATAAATGTATCATTCTTACGACTCGATCTCCTCTCTTTACTGTCCTTACACTTGTTCAACTTTCTATCTACCGGCAACAAAAGCCCAGCTTAAGCGTAGGCGTAAATTTCCTATTCATGTCTAAAGCTTCCCGACGCAATTCCACGTATTCTCTGTAAATGAAAGTAAGGAGTTAATAAATAAAAATGTAATTTCAGCTTTCGGTAACAACGAACAACTGCCGAGATGGAATTTGTAAATACGTGAAAATAGAATATTTGAAATAAACTAATCAGTTAATTAATCAACTTTTAAGCACCCAGCAGGTTCAAGCGTAACTTTACTTTTATTGCCTCTCTTTATGCCCTAACCCTCTCTCCATTACGGTAACAGGTTGAATAGAAAATATATCTCTACTCTTTTAGGAAATCTCATTCATTAAATGTTTCGAGTTGAAAATTTCTATTCATTTCATTTAGCTATTAATAAGCTATTTGCATTTGAATCGAGACTTGTTTATATGATATAAACACCCTCCTCTATTGAAGAAACGCCTACAACTAATTCTTAATCCTTTTTACACTTTTTTCAAGCATTATTTCATTTATTGATTCTAGCTCGAAGACTTTTTATTGTCTTTCGAAAACTGTTATATACTAATCTCTATATATATCTATTTACGAAGTACCTGAATTAATTACGCAACCTTTTGGCAGAGAGTTATGATAAACTTAAAAATAGTTCTATTTTCGGGTTTACTCGTTTCTTTCTTTTTTGATTTTAAAAAAAAAAGCAAACACTGACTTAAGGAAGAAAATATAGATAACAACTATCTTTTGTCTCTTAAGACTGCTATTTTGTTTTGTTGTCGAGATTTTATCAATATGACCTACCAAAATTTCTAAAACATTAATCCGCATTCAACAGAATCGACCTAGGAATTCATAGAAAGCAAACTAGTAGGCGTTCTTTTATGTGCAATTGCTTTAGCGTGAATCTATTTATAGACCAAAAATAATGCTATTATAACTTCTTAGTTTGAAAAATTAAGCAAATTAAGTGCTTTCGCTTCAAACTACATTCAAGTTTTTAGTTTACTTTGAGCACTTGCTTTAAGTAATTAATCATTGGTTAAATTCTTCCATCTTTCCTCCTTCCTTTCGTAAGTAATCGTATTTCTGCAAAACGTTGCGTTATACTTAAATAGTGCTATTAGCCAGTGCTAAACCACTTTTTTGCTTATTCATGAACTTGTAATATATTCTAGATATTAAAAATAAAATATTTATTTTCACATTATCATTCAAATGGATTGGTGTTTGATGAATTATAATATTATAAATATCCTTGACAACCAAGACAATCAGAAAATCTCTATAAAAACAAGTTCAGACATTTATGCACTTCATATCGGCACCAACTCTTGACGCCCATTGAAAAATGCTGATTCAATCTTTGATCATCTCCTCTCTTCTACTGTTTGGTAGGCTATCGTCATGTAGATTCAACTAGTTTGTAATAACTTTTCGAAACATCTTTTTGCAGTTGGTCTTCAAGCGGCTCGAATTACAACAACTGAAATCTACAATTGCCAAAATGGACAAACGGTAACAGCTAAAACTTTCTGCTCATTTTGCCAAGTTGGAAAGGCTTTAAACGAAGATAAGACAATCTGTACAGGTAGGAAACATACAATCTTGCTGCGAAAATTACTAATTTAAATTGAATCTCGACCACATTATCATTTCATACATTGTTAAGTTTACAACTTTCAATAGAAAACAAAGCTATAACATTTTCAAACATCTATAAGCTATAATTATTAATAACCTTTATCCAATTTCCCCTTAAGAATGTCCGACCGCCTGCAAAACTTGTACAAATTCCATTCAATGCAATCAGTGCTTTGATAATTACACCTTCAATAACGTTTCCAAACAATGCATCGCCTGTTCTTCATCATGCTCAAAATGCACCTGGAGTAATCAGCAATCTCGAACAGTTTGCGATATTTGCAAAAATGAATATACTTTGGATACGATGAACAATTGCAAATGTAAGTATTTCTTTCAACATCATCTAGAAAAGCTACATCAAAGAAACAGATTATTTACCTATTTCTTTTTACATAGCATGTGGACAGAATTGTAAATCTTGCTCCTACTCCATGGAAAATGGTATCACTTGCAATCAGTGCCATTCCAATGCCTATAGAGATATATCAACAGCATCTATTAAATGTAACTTGTGTTCTTCTGCAATATCTGGTTGTCTCACTTGTTCTGATGGAAAAACCTGCACAAAATGCTTATCGAATCAATATCTTTTAATTGACCAAAAGGAATGTTTACCATGTAGCAGTGTCCATCCAATGTGTATAGATTGTAGCAGAAATTCTGGAACAACTGTATGCATTAAATGCCAAAATGGATATTTTGTAGATGGCGTAACTTGTTCGCCCTGTCCTCTCAACTGCAATTCGTGTTCTCAACAAAATGGTGTTATTACCTGCAAAAAATGCAAAGCTGACTACACTCTTTTGAATCAAAGGGTGTGCAACTTGTGTCCAAGGAACTGTCTCAAATGTCATCATTCCAATGGTGACCTTGTGTGTTCAACAAATGGTTGCGAGTCTGGTTATGCTTTAAATTCGGATAATTTATGTAGTAGATGTCCTTCAAATTGTCTACTTTGTACATACAATCCATCAACTTCACAAACTGAATGCAATGGCAATGGCGCCAGTCATTCTTGTATTGAAAATCAACAAGGACAATCATGGACAAAAAAGAATGATGGAACTTGTTCAGGTGACAATCATAATTGAATATTTTATTGTTTTTATTATCTAAAATTGTCTTCAAATGCGTACAGAATGTCCATTGAATTGTCTAAAATGCTACTTTAAAGACAATCAAGCATCAACCCCTATGTGTTATCCTTCAAAATGTGCTGACAATTATGGATATGACGATACAAGTGGAAATTGTTTTCCATGTCCTGATGGCTGCAGATTATGTAAAAAAAGATCTGGTGAAAACATATGTTTAAAGTGTCTTGATGGCTATGGAGAAAGTTTAAATCCAAATGGGCAAATTGAAAGTTGTATATCTTGTAGCTCATTGGACAATTGTGAAAAATGTATAATGATTGATAATGGCTTGAAATGTTTGGATTCTCAGTGTGTAAATGGTAAAAAATTTACTCTTCCAAATAAAGACTGCTCAGATTATTTACCTAATTCTATATCAACTTTAGTTGTAAAAAGAGATTTAAGAAAAATCAGAGCAGTAACTCCTACACCAACAACTCCCACTCCAACAACACCTACTCCAACAACTCCAACCCCAACAACTCCTACACCAACAACTCCAACTCCAACAACCCCCACTCCAACAACTCCAACCCCGACAACTCCTACTCCAACAACTCCCACTCCAACAACTCCAACCCCGACAACTCCAACCCCAACAACACCTACACCAACAACTCCCACTCCAACAACTCCCACTCCAACAACTCCAACCCCGACAACTCCAACCCCAACAACACCTACACCAACAACTCCTACTCCAACAACTCCCACTCCAACAACTCCAGCCCCAACAACTCCAACCCCAACAACACCTACACCAACAACTCCTACTCCAACAACTCCCACTCCAACAACTCCAACCCCAACAACTCCAACCCCAACAACACCTACTCCAACAACTCCCACTCCAACAACTCCAACCCCGACAACTCCAACCCCAACAACACCTACACCAACAACTCCTACTCCAACAACTCCAACCCCAACAACTCCAACCCCAACAACACCTACTCCAACAACTCCCACTCCAACAACTCCAACCCCGACAACTCCAACCCCAACAACACCTACACCAACAACTCCTACTCCAACAACTCCAACCCCAACAACTCCTACACCAACAACTCCTACTTCAACAACACCTACTCCAACAATTACTAACACTCCAAGAACCACAGCCACTTTATGCACTGCAGCAAACTTTCAACACTGTAAATCTGACAGTTTAAATGTAAATGCAGATCAATCATGTGGCTGCAGCAGATGTGTAGATAATTTTATTTTATCCAATGATCAAAGTCAATGTCTTGACTGTAATTCATTCACTTCTGGGTGCAAAGTATGCACTGAAAGTAATTCCTCACCCAATTCTATTCAATCTTGCTCAAAATGTCAAGATAACTATGGTTTGATTTCAACTGGAACTGGAACTTGTACTCCATGTGAAGCAAATTGTTTAGAATGTACTGTCAATTTAAGTGGCTCACCAACCACAACATGTACAAACTGTAATTCTGGTTATGTTCTTAATTCATCAAAGAAATGTATCAGATGTCCAACATCTCCACTTCCTTGTTCTGAATGTAGAATTGATCCAGTAAATGATGAAAGCTCTATTTGCTTACAATTTGGTTGTTCAAATGGAGGTTCTTTCAGTGATAAAGATTTCAGTTGCCAACAGTGTTCAATAAGCAATTGCAAATTATGTACTAAAGATACTTCTGATAATGATAAATGTCTATTATGCAATGATAGATACTTTTTAGATAGTGGTGGAAGCTGTGTTCCTTGTATATCAAACTGTAATATGTGTACAGATGCAACTAGTTGTTTGGGAGATGGCTGCAATGAAGGCTTTATCAAGCACAGAACAGATGGAACATGTACTTCATGTGGAGAAAGAGGAATAGCATTTTGTGAATATGAAAGCTTTACTTCTAATAATATTCTACCAAAGATTTGTAAACAAGGATTTTTCCTAAACACATCTCCAACACCAAATACATGTGAAGGTATCAATAATTTTTTATAAATGATAATTTTGAGAGAGATAATGACTATTTTGCTAATTTTTCAGAGTGTGATGAAAATTGCATGGAATGTTCAACAGCTGGACAACATAAATGTGATGTTGGAAAGTGCAAGGTTGGATTCTTCTATAATTCTGATGATCAGAAATGCTACAAAAATAAGGCTGGATGTGAAATCTCTATTCGATCTGGCACTCAAACAATATGCCAATCTTGTAATACAGCAAATAGTACCCTTTCAAATGGAAATTGTAAGTTGTGTCCAACTGGTTGCAATGGATGCAGTATTGATTCAACAAGCAATCAATTATCCTGTTCATCTTGTAAAAGTGGATATTACAAATCAAATAATAATTTATGTGTGCCTTGTCCAATTGGATGCAAAACTTGCTTATTAGATGGAGTAGAGCTCAAATGTACAAGTTGTCAAACATCTTTTGGTCTTAAAGGAGGATTGTGTGAATCTTGTGATACTTCTGAATGTGAAAGTTGTCTATTTGATGACAATTCTATGATTTGTGAAAAGTGTGCTGACAAGTTTTATGTGAACAGCAACAATTGTGGAAAGTGTCCATTATACTGTAGTGAATGCTCATATAATAAGAGATATGAATGTTCAAAGTGTTATGATGGCTATGCAAAAACTTCAGATGGCCAATGTATAGTTTGTCCATCCAATTGTAAAAAATGTATTGCTAACTCTCAACGAAATTCAATCTGTACAGAATGCAATTCAAACAGATACTCTCTTCAAAGTGATGGAATTTGTAGGCTTTGCTCTGATGTTACCTTTGGAAACTGTGAAACCTGCACTTCTGAATCAAGTGCAAAGAATGCAAAATGTTTGACGTGTGGTGTAGGCTTTGCTCTGAAAGATGATGAATCAGAGTGTATTTCCTGTCCTATTAATGGTTGTGGACTATGTGTTCATGGAAGAGAATGTTTAAAATGTAAAAGTGGATTCTATCCAATTAACCATAACAGAGAATGTGGGCGCAAATGTTATGAATGTGAAGGAAATGAAAGTGAATGTGGTAAAGCAATAAATGGAAATAATACTTTATCAGATAAAGTAAAGGAGGTTGAATGTGGTAATGGGGATTGTTGGGCATTTAGAATTGAATCAAAAGATGGTATATTGTACTCAAGGAAATGCTCAAACAGAACATGTGTTGAAATATCTGAAAATGAGAAATGTGATAAGATTGATGGTTTTAATCATTGTGAAAAGTGCTGTTATGGTGAAAATTGTAACACTTGGCATTTAGATGGAAAAGCTGGTACTGGACGTATTCTGTTTTCATTTGCTTGTTTTGGTTTATCTATAATCTACTATATTCTTTTTTAAATTGATAAACGACAGTAACTTGATAACTTGATAATGTAATCAAAAATATATTGCCAGTTTTAGAACATTTCGAAATATTTTAGTTTGTTTCCAACACCTTCTATTAATATTATAGTTTTAATTTTCTTCAGTTGCTTCAAAGATGTTGGCATATTTTCAGGGTTACACAGGGGTCCCCAAAAAAATTTTGAGTTCATAAGTTATGGAAATATTCAGTTTTGTTTGCTGATTATAGATCTGTAAAAAATGACCTAAAAATGTTTTTAGTTTGGCTGTTGTTTTTTAAAAACATTTAAAAAAAAATACTATCATTCTATAGAGAAAAAAACTCCAACTTCTAATAGCTTTTTTAAGTTGATTTTTGGTATGAAGATGTAGTTTGGGCTTATATAAGTTTTGGTGAAAAGATATACCTAATAATGTTCTTTGGTTACTCATTGTTTTTTAATAACTTTTTAAAAAAAATAGGGTTAGGGTTAGGTTTTCATAATGTTGAACTAGACACTAAGATCTGAGTTCTGACAAAAGTCGGGTTAGGGTTAGGGTTAGGGTTAGGGTTAGGGTTAGGGTTAGGGTTAGGTTAGGGTT